CCACTCCTCCTGCACTCCCCATCGCCCCGGACAATCTGAGAGCTGCCCGACTCTTAACTTCGACAAAATACTGTCATCACACAAGCTAATGTTCTTGCCCATTAATTACATAACATCGTATATGCGTACGTATGTGTAGCAATAGCCATGTGTAGTGATACGTATGTATACGAATGTATACGTATTACTGTTATATTACCAGGGGTGGAAAGGTGGCGCAGTGGTTTTCACATTGCACTATTAACCTGGCCACCAGAGTTGTATTGCAGACCGTGGCTAACAGCAGTGGTGAGCGATATCCAAACCGGTTCTTGGCACGACCGCTTCACCAGTCTTGCATTGACCAGCGTGGTGAAGTATGGTCAAGTAGCCCCCTTGACCGACACGGCGTGGGGAGGCCTTCATCCAGCAATGGGATTGACAAAGGGCCTGTACATTATTATTACTATTAATGGAGTATTCCTCAAAAATGTCTGCACGCAGCGGGCATATATGTATATTGCAGTGTTCATGCATTGCGTCGTTGTGTGTGCGTTAACCATGCCACCCGCGACAATGCGTTACGCCGCACACTAAATCAATACATCACACGCCCTACAATTAAATTTGCCATCGCATACGTGATAACCAGACGCATAGCCAGTGCTGCAACCGTGCCCTCTCCATAACCATGTGCGTTATGTGGCCCGGATTACAACGTACCACTGCGGTCCGCCGTTGACGCGGATGTGCCAGCGTCGACGTGGTTTATATGCGCGCCGTTTTATGTGCAGCCTTCAGATGCATTACACTGTTTTACTGCATTATGCCGTGTAACAGACTGCATGGCACGTTTCCATTCATCGTCAGGATATGGCGGCATTGAATATCTGCGGAAGTTGCTCAGGCCATGTCTACCTCTCTGCCTCGCGCTACTCCCCTCCACATTTTCATCTCGCTCAACTTCCCTCCAAGCATTCTCCGCTCGGGCAACCAAGGCTTCCTGTCAAAGGCCCCAGTCAACCTTTGCTCAGTGGGAGGTCACTCATTCTCCTCTGCTGCCCTCATCGTCTGGAACACCCTTAACTCTGCCATCCGTGCTGTCGACTCCCTGCACCTGGTTTAAGGCCTTGCTGTTCTCCTCTGCCCTTTTTTAAAGGCGCGCGTCGCAGTAGTTCTGAAACCCAAGCGGCCGTCCTCGAGCCCACAGCGGATTGCCACCGCCGTCGCTTTGTGAGGAGCTGCAGCTAGACGGGGGTTTAACAGGGGCCAGGATTGGCAACTCGGAGCCTCTCCTCCCTCGTCAAACGGGCGCACGACGACTGCACGTTCCCGCTAGCTTTGTTTAAATTTATTCCCCCCCCTCCCCCTGCTGAACCCCGCATCTAGCCACCGCCGCGCCAATGCCCTAAGGCAGCCCCAGCCTTCTGCCTCATTCCCACATCTCACGCCACCCAGAGGTCTGCCCTGCTTGTCAAATCTAAAGGTCTCCTGCATCTTTCATTTTTTCCCGCTCCCTCCTCGCTCTCTCTCGCAAGGCTTAATTTCAGACGGGTCTTCCTGGGGTCAGTGACCCTTAATATATTTCTGCACCTGGCGCACAACGTCCAGTAAACCTCTTGCTGTCGCTACGAGTCTCTTCTTATCACGATCCCCTCTCCAATACCCCCTCACTCCCTCTTCTTTATTCGCTGGGTTAACACATTTATTATTTCGCTCAAATAAGTGATGTTTACGTCAGTAGAAAGGGTTAGGACATTTTATCTGACGAATCAGATTCGTATACGGCCTTTAAACATGTGTATTTCACTCAAGACCAGCGAATATATTTCCACCGTTTTTTTCCCTCCTCAAGTAATAATGTAAATGTCTTACTGACGGAAGCATCGCTGAGGCTGAAGACCGTTTTGTCAGGCAGCTCCTGCATTAGGCCATTTGGCCAAACTCTGCGGTAGTAATAATATTTGATGTTTGGGGGCGTTGCGATCATATTTATATTTGGGGATTCAATCGTCGACTGTGAGACACCTCCGTTCACTCCTGAAATCCAAGTTCCTTCGTAGACATAGCTGTTATAAATAATCGGCAGAGAAACGTAAGCCCGAGTCTGTGTGGATCGCAATTCCAGTTCCCGGTTACTGGTTGTGTTCGCTTTGTTAAATTATGTTTTTTTACCGCCCTTCATTTATTTTTGTTTGTAACGGAATGTAGTCGTGTTTTTTTTTTTCACGTTTCCGACCGGTTATCTATATTCCAGTGCGATGAGCAGCACGTAACGATACTCGCTGTTTGTATCGCGAACGATCTCACCATGATTGTAACGAAGATCTCTTGCTGGATGACATCTGTACCGTCGCATGATTCCCATGAAACAACAAGAGCTCAACAGCTCATTGGGCCCTTCCTGCTGAAATGAATAACATTTTTATCTAATTTTAGTTTTAGTTTTTTAATCGGGCGTCAGATGTCGGCGCTTCGCTTTACGTGCCCATCAAACTCTACTTGTGGGCAGCGCGCGATCCAAACCACGACGTGCGAGGAGCGCGCTGTGGGGCAATAGTCTTGATGTGCACGCTCCCCCCCCCCCCCGTCATAGCCCCCCCCGTCATAGCCCCCCCCCCGTCATAGCCCCCCCCCGTCATAGCCCCCCCCCCCCCCCCCGTCATAGCCCCCCCCGTCATAGCCCCCCCCATCATAGCCCCCCCCCCCCGTCATAGCCCCCCCCCCATCATAGCTCCCCCATCATAGCCCCTCCCCGTCATAGCCCCCCCCCCCGTCATAGCCCCCCCCATCATAGCCCCTCCCGTCATAGCCCCTCCCCGTCATAGCCCGCCCCCCAAACCAACAACGCGTCCCACCGTCTCCTTGTGCCGATCGTTTTGCCCTCTTTCAGGCGCGTCCACAGTAACCGTAAACAAGCAGCACACACAGACACGTCTGGTAATAAATCCGCTCGTTTTGCGATGACATGTACCGTGAACGATTTACGCTTCGGTTGTGCGGTTTGATATTTGTAATTGTGATACCATGAAAGGGGAAAATTACCACCACATTGATCATTACCACCACCGCCTTACGACTCAAAGATACCGTATATCGGAAGCTAATGTTCTGGGAAGTGGCCCCTTCAGAGAGGGTAGAGATTGAATCGTTCGTGACACCTCTCTGCCTTATAATCATTCAATATTTATGCTCTGAAGAAGGGCCATTATCTGAAACATCAGCCTATGGTGTATTCTTCTTGGGTGTTTCGGAAAAGTCACAAAGAAAATAAAAAAAATGTAACAACAAACGACGACGTTTCGATCGCAACACAAGCAGTCGTCAACAGGATGATGATTGCTTGTGTCGCGTCGTAGGTTTTTTTTGTTATTTTTTGCTTTTTTTTCTTTGAACCCTATCTACGTGACTTTACCGAAAGACCCAAGAATATGAATTCCTGCAGTCACGAAAGCTTTAAGTTAAGATCTATTTTGTATTCTATTTATGTGGCAGTGCTCACCGAACTCACCCTTCGTAGGTAGCGTGAGTAATCCATAATTAAGGTTTTTGGGTTAGATCGCGTTATTTATAAATGTGTCGTAACCCTCCACCACCCGACACGGCCAATCAGCAAAAAAAGTGTCACGTTGACAAAAGACAAATAATTCACTACTTTTGCCCACCGGTGTGTTGAATCCACAACATTTACAGTTTGAGTACGATGTTTCGCTGGTAAATACATCCAGCATCATCGGGCAATTCGCCAGAATGGTAAAGTCCTCGCTTGCTCCCGGTTTTAAATAGAGCAGCAGGGTGACGTCATCATTTAACTCATATCAGGTGCAGTGAGCAAGGGCTTTAGCATTCTGGCGAATTGCCCGATGATGCTGGATGTATTTACCAGCGAAACGTCGTACTCAAACTGTAAATGTTGTGGATTCAACACACCGGTGGGCAAAAGTAGTGAATTATTTGTCTTTTGTCAACGTGACACTTTTTTTGCTGATTGGCCGTGTCGGGTGGTGGAGGGTTACGACACATTAATAAATAACGCGATCTAACCCCAAAAACCTTTATTATGAATAATATTCGTCGCGAAAGCCTACGTGTTAAACTGAGCGTGAGTAATGCCGAGTTTTTTGTATTTGCACTCACACCACAGCTAATGCAGTCCATAAATTAATGATTTAAGTTTCTCTTTATTTACTTCTCATCCGGCTCCGCGCAAATGCATCGATTCGCAAAACAAGCGACCGTGGCATGACGAGCGATCGGCACCGCCGCACTGAGCGGCGGTGCCGTGCCGCTAAACCACGGCGCACGTCTGCTGTACCCCCTCCCCACCCACTGCCCGCCGTGTCCCCCACCCCACACACACCCCCACCCCACACACCCCCTCCTACCCCACACACACCCCCACACACACCCTCCTACTCTACACACACCCCCACCCCACGCACACCCTCCTACCCCACACACACGCCCACCCCACGCACACCCTCCCACCCCATACACCCCCACCCCACACACACACCCCCACCCCACACACACCTCCTACCCCACACACACCCTCCTACCCCACACACACCCTCCCACCCCATACACCCCCACCCCACGCACACCCCCCTACCCCACACACACCCCCACCCCACGCACACCCTCCCACCCCATACACCCCCACCCCACACACACACCCCCTCCTACCCCACACACACCTCCTACCCCACACACACCCTCCTACTCTACACACACCCTCCCACCCCACACACCCTCCTACCCCCACACACCCCCACCCCACACACACACCCCCACCCCACACACACCCTCCCACCCCACACACACCCTCCTACCCCCCACACACCCCCACCCCACACACACACCCCCACCCTACACACACACCCCCACCCCACACACCCTCCTACCCCCCACACACCCCCACCCCACACACACACCCCCACCCCACACACACACCCCCACCCCATACACCCCCCTCCTCTTCCCCCCCCCCCCCGCGTCTCCCCTTCCACTCCGCCACCCAGGTGCCTCCAGAACTACATCCCAGCCCAGAGCCTGACGCTGTCGTGCCCGGTGTGCCGCCAGACGTCCATCCTTCCCGAGCGCGGCGTCTCCGCGCTGCAGAACAACTTCTTCATCACGAACCTCATGGAGGTGCTGAGCACGCAGGGAGACGGTGCCGCGGGGACGTGCCCCGGCGTGGCCGGCTCCGGCGAGCTCGGCGCCGCGGGCTGTGCCGGGACGGGAGACGGCACGGCCCCCGGGGCCGGCGGCGGCGTCGGCGGCGGCGTCCCCGGCGGGGTGGTGTGCGTCGTCATCGGCCAGCCGCTCTCCTGCCCCAACCACCAGGGCAAGGTGAGGAGGTGGTGGTGGTGGTGGTGGTGATGGTGGTGATGCTGGACCGGTGTTTGATTCGCCGGGATTTGTGGTTGCGTACTCCCGGTCGTTGTGATCCGTCGGGGTTTGTGCCGTCGTCGTTGACGTCACAGTCATCGTTTGTCGTCATCCTCCACCTTCGTTGGTATCATCGTCGGTGTCGTCATCATCATCTGCTCAATAGCCGTCATAATAATAATAACTGCGGTTTCTATCGCAGCGCAAGGTGGCAAGACGTTGCAACAGTGCTGATAATGAGGGCCGTGACGATGTTGATTGCCATTATCGTCATGGTCAGCACCATCACTACCACTTTAATCACTATCATGATCATCAGTATTGTCATCAAACCCAGCATCATCACCATCGTCTTCCTGACCATCGTCGTCATGATCCCCACCTCATCGTCGTTGCTGTGATCATCCTCTTCACCTGTCACCATCATAATGATCACAATCATCATGGTCAACATCACCCTTCATAAACATTTGTAGCAACGTCGTTGTCATCATCATCATCACGACCAAGATCATCTACGACGTAAATTCTTGACGAATAGCCGGCTGAGAAGGTACGGAGACGGCGATTGTCTTGTGCAAGGGAGAGCTGGCAGATAATTCGAGGAGCAACTCGTAAACAAAGAAACATTCCACAGATTCTGTCCATCACAACAACAACTTAATCAGTGCAATATTAAAAAAAAACAGGCCAAAGCAATGCACGATTGAATCGTGCAAATTCAAGTAGAATAATAGAGGACTTATTACGAGTTAACGAAAAACACAGCATGCGTTTGATGAGTCAACTTAAGTGAGCTTTAACTGATCAAAGCCTGACCGTTAGTTAATTCATTCAAAGAACACGCACAGCAAGGCGACTGGTACCTTCTCCCAATCAAATTAAGTGCATTCTCTTCCAAGGCATGTGGCTGGCGTGGAAGAGTAGACCCAAACATCTCCTCCTAGAGGCGTTCCCTCGAGTTCTTGTGACTCTCATGGGAACGCCGCCCGTTCGCCAGTGGTGGCGTGAGCAAAGCAATTGCCACCGCTGCATCCTGCACCCTTTAACCCGTTAACTCCTTTCTTGTTCCGAGACGTCTGCAAGCTGCAGGGCGGGTCGTCCCGTTCACCGCCGAATCTCGGAACACGCGAGCGGCTCGGTGTTCATTTTTCTTGTAGAGGCGTCGTAGCAGCGCCGCTGTTTTTTCAAGACGCCGTACCCGCCGCAGAGAACCGAAGCGACGCGGCGCTAAACCGTGCCGCTAAACCGTGCCGCACGCCCTGCTGCATGGCCTTGCGGGAGCCTCGCTTCGGTTTGGGCTATTCTATTCGAGGTTTTTCTTTCAGCTTCGTTTTGATGATGTGCACCTACGTCATTGGAACGGGAAAGGGTTAAGCACAAGGTTGGCTTTAGCAAGCCGTCTTTCCAGCGAAAAAGAGAGGTGGGGTTTATTTTAGTTGGTTGTCCAATGAAAAGCTCCGCTCTGCCCGCGATTAAGGACACGGAGGGCGTGTGCGCGATTGGGCCTCACACACGCAGTGGGCCCGTCGGCGCAGTGAGGCCGGGACTGCGTATCGAGCCGATTCGATTTTTCTCAGCAAAATGTTGGTCGCGCTTCAAGCGACCTTGCGCAACAGTGGCGTTATCGGTGCGGGCTGGGTGTTCCGTTTTTATTTCACTTTGGGAATATCACAATGACGCAAGCCGTAATTAAGTGAAGGTGAGAGTGTTACTGGTGGTCTGGATGTGTGCGTGCGTGCGTGTGATTTATGTGTAGTAGCTGTGAAAAACAGGCGTGTAAATGGTTATCGCATTTCGCTTAGACCCCATTATGTTGATCACACCATGCCATTGTGTAGCATGCTGGCCTTAACTGGTGCTTACTAACAGCACTTGCCTTGACAGCCTTTGTGGGCTAAATGGGAGACCTTTGCCCTTGGTGATTATGATGACGATGGGCATCGAAGACACCTCTAGCCTCAGCTCAGCGTTTGGGCCTTCCCACCACCAGCAATGCGGAGACGCGAGTCGTGAGCACCACGCCCACGATACACAGCCCAGCGGCTCTGCACGCGGAGACGCGTTGCGCCCTCTCCTCTCCGCCAGCGCTTGTGATGACGACGCACTAACACTGCCGCTTGCCTGCCCACCCGCCCGGCCAGCCCGCCAGCCCCGAAGCTAACGAGAGACGCCGAGACGCCAGATTAGCAAAGACAAGCGGTGCCGTGAAGCTCCGCGCACGGGTGCCTGATGTCATTCACCGCGGGTGTTACATGACTGTGCTTCACCGCGATGATCAGTGCGGGTTTGGTGAAGGGGATGGGGGTAGCGGCCCAGAACTTGTGAGGATTTCGCTCGCCACTGATGGTAGCCGTGGCTGGGAATCGAACCTAGGTCACCGGGCTTACAGCACTGTGCCACCACGATCACTATGCTGGCATTCCATGGAGTGTGAAAATTAGCCGCTTTCTCCAGTGTGATGAGTAACGCGTGTTCTTCGCTGTGCATGTGTGGCCCCTTTTCTCAAGCCACTGCTGAATGAGCGCTTTCCCACGGCGTGCGGGTCATTGGGGTTAATTGACCATACTTCACTCCCGCCGGTCAGTGCGGAATGCCAAGGGCGGCAAGCGTATCTGTGGTAGAACTGTGGCGTCACAGGACATTGAGAGACGGCGGTGGCATGGGGAGGCCTTAATCCAGCAGTGGATAATATTAATAATTTCAACTTGTAATGCGCACATTATTTGCTCACTCTTGAAGAGGGAGAGATTGATTCAGAGGTGCGAGGAGCCACAGACAAAGTGGGAAGGTAGCAGCTGGCACCCATAATTGCCCAAGCTCTGCGGTCCTCTTTATAGGAAGATGTTTTCAGTTAATGAGTGTGAATACATGTGGAAGGAAACTGGAGTGCCCGTAGAAAACACATGCGTGCGAGGTGCGATACTACCGCGTACAGATGGAACAGATGGAGATTCGTCTAAACTTTACTCTATATACCGCCTTCACCTGGCGAGCCAGGGTATGGCACCTCGACGCCCACGGGAAGGGAGTCTCACAACATCTGTGCTATCCACCAACCCTTGCTGCCTCCAAAGTGATGGAGTAACGGACACGTGCATAGCCACCACCGGCCCTGGTCATGGTGACGATGATGATAATGACGACGATGATGAACAATTTAAATGCTTTATAAACAAACGCAAATCCATGCAGCCCAGGAGGAACGGGACACTGTGGACTCCCCATACATCAGTGCTCCTGCAGTGATTTTAGTCCGAAGGGGAGTGAGTAAGGTGACCGCACCCCGTGGCATGGCGATTGTTGTGAGCTCCCCAGAGACCCCTCGCGTGCAACTCGGCTGCATTTTCCGCGGCGGTTTTATAACCAACACCGCTCGCGAACCAAATCGCCCCGCGAGCGATCTCGGTCACGTCACCACGTCTCAGATGCCTTGCAGCGTCACCTGTCGTCCAAGAAGTGTGCGGGCGGGCGACCGACCGACCATGCTGCTGCTGCTGCTGCCGGAGCTGCTTTGTCAGCAACGCACAGTGCAGCTTCACTCCATTGTTGTACTCTGCCGTGGCTTCAACATCCGTGCCCTGACCTTGACCGACCCGCGCCGTCAGGCGCAGCAAAAAAGATGGTCGAATGAAAATGCGCACAGCGTGGGGTGGGGGGCTTCATCAAGCATCGGATTGACGACAGAAATGGCTTTACCCCTGTGTGTGTGTACCACGAAGAGCTTACGGCGGCGAAGGGATCATTTCCCGCATCGGACGGTGTGGTTTTTTTCCCCCCCATGAAAAGCGACCGCTGCGCGTGGGGCTGGTGGGGGAGACCCGGGGAGGCGAGAGGTCACCGTTGATTCCAGGAACCACCAGGTGGTCGCCGTCGAGGGCGATCGATGGCCGCGTGCTCGCGGTCCGTTGGCGCGCCTGAGCGCGCGGCCTCGCGGGACCGCTACAGTCGGGACACGTGCTCGCGTCCCCGTGAGCCGCTGCGGTGCACGGGGCAGAGGGGCGGGAGGGGGGTGGTGCGGTGGGGGTGTGGCATCGCTCGCGCCACGGTCGGTCCGCCGGCTGCTGCCAAGCCGCAGCGCGTCGTGCGCCATGACATCACCGTCGCCGCTTTCATCCCGTAGGCCGGACGCTGCTGCAACGCTCGGCTCGCGGGGGTGCGTCCCGCCCCCCCCCCGCGGTGATGCGGACAAATGTGTCGACGGTGCCCGCTCACGTGAATTCCATTCTCGTAATTGGTTTCTTTGTTGGTTGTCGATCGTGTCGGCGAGAACGTCAATCTCCCACCGCCCGACAGAGCCAATCTGGTTGAGTTGTCACATCGCCAAATTTGGCTATTGATTCGTTTTTTTGGGCAAATTCGGCTGAATGTTGAAAAGCAAACAAAAGCGTTAACACATTTTTCATGACGTTTTGCTCGAGATTGCATCGGGCATCGTCTGGTGTTTAACAAACGCTCGGCTCTCGCACGGATCATAGCGCTTCAGGATATGCACACATTGTACACGTGCAGCCCTTTGTTACTCTGCTGCTGGGTGAGAGGCTCCCCATGCCGTTCAGGTCGTGGGGTTTATTTTGGCTGCGCTGCTCAGTGCGGATTTGTGAAGCGAGGGAGCATAGAAAGTATAGTCCAACGATGGATTCTGCTGCAACGCTCTCTGCTGCTCACCACGTGTCCCCACGTGTTTTATATTTTAACGTGTGTGCGTGTAAACTCATGGATGAGTGGAACGGAGCGGTGGCGCAACTGGTTAGCACACTTCGCTTTGAACCTGAACCCTGGCCACCTGAGTTTGATTCCTGGCCACTGCCATTATTATTCGCGAGTGTCATCTGGACCCGTTCCTGAATCCCGAACTTCACCATCCCACGGGCTGAGCAGAGTGGTGAAGCATGGTCAAACAACGGCCACGATCGATCGACACGGCTTTGGGAGGTCTACGTACAGCAGTGTATTGACAGAGGGCTGTAAATTATCATTTGTATTTGAATGAGTAGTGATTCAAAGGTTTTGAGCGAACTTAATGTTGGACATTACGATCTAAACAGAACGACATAGTGCTGATAGGGTAAACGATCTTTAAATTCAACGTTTTGCATGCAAATTAGCTTGCAAGTCTAACCGACGGCTCTCACGTACGCACTGTAAGAGACTGAGCGTGTTTATTCATGAGCTGGAGAGTCTGCTGTGGGAGGGATCACGAGGCAGTCAGGGGGAGTGTATATACAAGGAGGGAGAAAATCGAGAGAGGCATACAGAGAGAGACAGAAGCAACGTCTGCAATTCGCAAACCGCATGCTGTCCGAAGCCTTCGACCAAATCACCCCGACCTGCACCCGATCTCGTCGGATCTCAGAAGCTCCGCACATTTGAGCCTGGATGGTGCTTGGATGGGGGATCGCCGCGCATAAAGCAGGTGCTATAGGCTGCCGCAGGGCTGCGTTGTCATCGGAGGGCAGTGCTGCGAGATCCACTGTCCTACTCTCCAGCATCCTCTGCCGCTTGCCATCACCTACCCGCTCTGACCAGCGTGGTCTCGTAACCCCCACGACCTGCACCGAGTGGAGAGGTCCTCATCCAACAGTGCATTGACAGAAGGGCTGTACGCGTGCACATGTACGCACGTACAAATGCATGTGTGAAAAGGTCAAAGATAGTATTTGTTATTTGCTGTGGCCATTGATGACGAAGTGAGGGGCTCTTCTATGAGCCATCTTGTGGCCACGCTGCCACCGCCGCCGCCGCTGCTGCTGCTGCATATTGCATGAGATGGCTCGGGTGTCGAAGCTGGGAATCGTGCTCAGACACGCAGCATTCCGTTAGGGGCCCTGAACACGAGACGAAAGGTCTATTTTGGTTCCCCATTCATTAAACATCTCGGGGTCTTCGATCATTTATTCATGAAGTAGTTTACTTTGGTGACAGACGCACAGGTTTAATGAGTCGCACAATCGCATCGCTGTGGCTCGTGTCTTTAATTTTCCTGTCGTGGGCCTGGTAAGGCCTGTTGGTGGTTTTTGATGATGATGATGATGGTGGTGACGATGACAAAAGTGACCGTTTGTTGAACTTCTTTCTCACCGTACATAGCCAACCGTGCTAATCGGAGGTGCGATGGCAAGACAACAAAGTAAACGCGTCAAACGGCACTTCTAATGTAATGAGTTTTAAACGACGACGGTGGCGTGTCTGGGCTCAGGTGATGGAGTTCTACTGCGAGTCGTGCGAGACGGCCGTGTGCCACGACTGCACCAACGCGGAGCACCTGGAGCACCCCTCGGTGCTGCTCAAGGACGTGGTGGAGCAGCACAAGGCGTCCTTGCAGGGCCAGGTGGAGCTCGTGCAGGCCAGGCGAGTCTCCCCGCTCCCCGCGCTACGCTCCCAGCTCCGCACCGAACCCGTTCCGTCTCCGCCCTCTGCGACGTCCCCCCATGCCACCAAAGCGCAATCCCCCCCGTCGCCTTTCTTCGCTGCTCCCCCAAGGATGGGGGGAATCTTTTCAGGAAACAGAATTGATCGCACGTACATTAAGTTTTCATCACGTGGTGTTAAACCGTGTGATAAAATGTAATATACATCGAGAATTATTTGTTTGTTATATACTTTTTTAATTTAGTTTAACTATTTTTATTTCACCAGGTAAGGCCCACTTAGCGATTTAGCTCTTTTTCAGAAGCCACCTGGCCACAAATGATAGCTCATCGAAGTGGCTAATCATATGGGCATTTTTAGCGACCAAATACTCTAAACGCATGATTCTAAATGTGGAGGGGAAAAAACTGAGGACCCGGAGAAAAGCCACACAATCGTGGGGCGAACATGAACACTGCAAATTTACAGCAGGCGTTAGGGTCGGAATCGAATCGGCGACCTCCTGTAAACCAGGCGCCACCGTGGCGCCCCATACACAATTCTACGTTCGCGAGAAAACGGTCCGTAACACGGATGGGACCGTTTCGTGACCGACCGCGGGCGTGGTTGGGCCTCGCTCGCGCTTGTCTGTCGGCGCTCGGGGGGTGAACGGCCCTGCCGTGAGGCGGAGATGTTTTTATTTTAAACGCGGAAGACTCCGGAGTCTGCCGGGCGCTGTGCTCGCGCGGCACTGCGGCACTGCGGCACCGCGGTGCCACATTCTGTATCGGCTTCACGGAGAAGCACAGACGCCGCTTTGCGCTATCCGCTCTTGGAACATTCCGACAAACCTAATCGCAATTTACAAAAAAACTCTTTGCCTTGTACACGTGTCCGTGCCTTGCTGCCTTATACACCGTGTTTCCTATTTGACCCATAACCCATGACCCAGGCTCCCCCATGTCCAATGGCATATGCCCCTCCATGATGACGTACCTCGCGTATACCGCATTTACTCTCGTATGGTGCTGTTTGCCCATTGAATGCATACCCCACGTGTCCCATGCATCACTTGTACCCCATGGACTGCATGTTTCCCAGGTACCCCATGTAACCCATTCACGTCCACCGTGGAGATGGAGCGATGAAATCGGCTCGCGTTCAGATGCTTGGTGGGCCGATGCATTTCAGAACTGTGAGAGGAGGCGACGTATTGTGAGGAGGCTTTCATCCAGCGGTGGATTGACCATGGCTGATGATGATCATCCCATACCTCCCGTGTGACCGCAGGCTCCCGGAGCTTGACTCTGCTATCGGCATGGTGTCGGAGATCGCTAAGCAGCTGCTGGCCCAGCGGGACGAGGCACTCGGGGAGATCCGCGCCGCCTTCGACGACCTCACCAAGGCCCTGGAGCAGCGCAAGAGCGCGCTCGTCACGGACACGGAGGGCCTCTACACCTCCAAGCAGAAGGTGCGGGGCGCCCCGCTTCTGCGTAGCTGCGTGGGTTCGTTGTGAGCGGACGCAATCGCTGGATGGGGTCGTGGTAACGCGTCGGGATGAAGGTGGGGGTGGCGTGCGTGCCCCCTCTATGCCCTCTACTTCCCCCCCCCCCCCAAAGAAACCCTGAAGTCGGCGGAGTTCCTCCAGTCACGTACCCTGCACCCGCCCAGTGGCCTGATGTCCATTAAAGGCCGGTCGACCAGGCCTCACTGGCAAAACAAACCGATACTTGCCTGCTCATTATAAAGATTAGTAATAGCATGCACCCTATGCCGGTGTTCTTCATTGCGAGGCCTGTGGGCCACTGGCGGCCTCTGGTGACCTTTAGTGCGGCCCCTGCCGCGCCCCATTTTGCTGTCAAAGCCAATGGTTTCAAATGTATGGCGGGCGTCGCACTGATGTCTTATCGGCGAACGCTGCCCTGGGCCCTCCTTCCCCCGTTGCCACCCCCCCCCCCCCGTTTCCTCTCCCCCTCCATTGCCCCACCCCTACTACCGCCGGCCGCCATCGCACCTGCCGGTCGACCCAAACCGCCGCCCCTCCGCTTCGTCCGCCAGGTGCTGCAGGCTCAGCTGGACACGCTGGTGCAGGGCCGTGCCAACATCCGCAGCAGCTGCGACTTCACGGCGCAGGCGCTGAGCCAAGGCGGCGAGACGGAGGTGCTGCTCGTGCGCAAGCAGATGAGCGAGCGGCTGGCGCAGCTGGCGGAGCAGAGCTTCCCGCTGCACCCGCTGCAGAACGACCACCTGGAGTTCCGCGCCGAGGCCGCCGACCCGCTGCGCCGCTCGCTGCTCAACTTGGGCGCGCTCGTCACCACGCACGCCGTCGCCTGCCAGACCGTCGCCACCGGGGACGCCCTGCGGCAGGTGCGGCTCTAGCAGAAGCTGTGGCGGTGGCCATGGTGGTCGTGGAGGTTGTGATGGTGGTTGGTAGAGATCGTGGTGGCAGTGGTGCCTGTTTGTAGTGGTGGTGATGGGTGGCGGTGTCAACAGCGATGGTGGTGGTGGTGGCGATAATTATGGTGGGGATGGAGATTGTGGTGGTGGCAGTGGAAATCGTGGTACTGGTGGAGGTGTTGATATGGTGGCAGCAAATGGCCTTCATAAGCTATGGCGGTGCTGTAAACATTTTACAGCCCATTGTGGATCCACTGCTGGAGGAAGGCCCCACAAGCACGTCGGTCATAGGAGTAGTTTTACCAAACTTGACAATGTTGCTCTGTTTCGGTTGACCAATGGGGAGACCCAGGGGCCAGTTCAGATACCACTGGGTACTGAGCTGAGGTCACTGGGTTCATAGCACAGTGCCACCGCTTCACCCTGACATATTGAAAACAAGTCAAAACATAAAAGTGAAAGGGCTCCGTGATTAAATGGAGCCGCAAGCCAAAATAAATCACAGCTCTCATCTTGCAGGTAATGGACCCAGGCTGTGTGGTCCAGGCTGTCACATGTGAGTTAAAGCTTTATTAATGAGGAAAAAAAAGCCTTTCAAGTTATTGTAAGGTTACCGCCATCCCATTTACCACGACAGAGTCCAGTCCTGTTCTTAGGATGACTCCAAAAATGTCCTACGTACGATATTTATTACAGATATGTTTTATAATGTGCCATTTCTTGTACTCTGCAGTCTGAACAGGACACCCCATGCCCAGTCTCCCAGCATGAATAAGTGGCTATAGATTTCTAGATTAGCCGAAGGCAAATTGTCACTTTGGTTGTTTTCATACAAACGACCACAGAGCCCCCACATTCAACTCTGCCTGGGGCCCGATGCGATTCCCATGCTCCTGAAACAATGCATTGAATAGTGCACATGAGGATAGATTAGTTTTTATTTAAATTGAAAATCGCCCGTCCTCTCGGCGTACAATTACGACGGGCGGCATCGCCTTGTTCACCTCGCGACAACCGCTAGTTCGGCGAGAGGCGCTAACGTCGGTAATTGGTTCACGTACACCTGCAGGCACTGCCGGATGTGCTTCCTCTCGCCAAAATGCAACAATCAACTACGGAATCGAGTCACAACCTTTAAATCGCGTCGCTTCGTCGAAACGAGGAGCGCATGAAATCGTTCACGAATTTTTTCGATTTAAAGCTTTCGTGACTGCAAGGATTCATCTTCTTTGGTTCTTTCGGTAAAGTCACGTAGAATGAAAATAAAATAATAAATTGATAAAATAAAATAACACAATAATATTCTCACGAGGTTTCAGCCACAACACAAGCGGCCTTCATCAGGTGAAGGGACGAGACTGTCCTCCAGACAGTCTCGCTCCTCCAGCCAGTCTCGTCCCTTCACCTGATGAAGGCCGCTTGTGTTGTGGCCGAAACGTCGTGAGAATATTATTGTGTTATTTTATTTTATCGTTCACGAATCTTTGCCAGCTCGCAGCAAATCCCTTTTGACCCCGTCCCCTCCGCTGGACACGCGCGGCGGCGCAGGCGGTGGTCGGGCAGCCGGCGTGCGTCACCGTCACCACGAAGGACAAGGACGGCGAGCTGGTGCGCTCGGGCTCGGCGGCCCTCACCGTGGAGATCTGCACGCCCGAGGGCAGCGTGGTGGACGGCGAGGTCACCGACAACCGCAACGGCACCTACGAGCTCACGTACACGCTGCCGCGCGACGGCGAGTTCACGCTCGCGCTGCGACTCTACGACCAGCACATCCGCGGCAGCCCCTTCCGCCTGCGCGGCCTCAAGCCCAGCGACCTGTCGCCCGGCGCGGGGGACGCGGCGCGCCGCCGGGGCAAGTCGCCGGGCGCCGGCGGGGGAGGCGGCGGCGGCGGAGGAGGAGGGGCGGCGCCGTCGAGCGCTCACGTGCGGCAGCGCGCCCTCAAGCGACCGTCCAGCATGTACAGCACCGGGCGGCGGAAGGAGAACCCCATAGAGGACGACCTCATCGCGCGCATCGGTGAGCCGCTCGCCGCTTGGGAACTTCGCCCACGTGGTTTGGGGTTGGTGGGGGGGGTGGGGGAGGTGGAGGGGGGGGTACCCGGGGTATTCCCCCTCCTCCGTGTGTATTCCCTGCTGCTTGCAAATCCCCCTGTTGTCACTCTGCACCTCCACGCCGCATTCAGTGACCACCCCTAGCGCTCGGTGCTTCCCTCTCTCGCCCTTACGCTCCACGTCGTATTCACCAGCAGCTCTACGCCCTGCGTGCCCTCGCGCTGTGTTCTTAAAATTGCAGTCAATGACCAAACTTCACTGAGCGCTTCCCCTCTCGCACGCTCCGTCCCACGTCACATTCGATAACCGCCTGGAGTGCTTCTCCGCACCCCCGGTTGTACCGCGTGTCCCCTTCTTCGTCAGCTCCACGGCCCCCGTGCGCACGACGGGCACGGACTCCACTTCCAAACCATCTCGCTCCCCGTCTCCTCTCTCTCCACGCTGCCTCGCGCAATCCACGTTTTGTACACACATTGCCCACACTCCCTTCACGTACCACGTCGCTCCCTCACGCCCCTTGTTGTCCACTTCACCCTGATGTTGCACAAATCCTTCTCCTCATCTCTCCCCCCCCCCCCTCCGTTTCACCCTTGTCCTCATCATCGCCATCTCTCTCTTGTCTTCATCCTCACTATTTCTACTTAACTCTTCCCTGCTTCTGTCTGTCTGCATCTTTGCATGTGGTGCTGTCTGTTTTCTGTCTACTTGTCTGCATGAATAAAGTAACCGTGTTGGTTTTGCCTGTGAGGAAGGTTGCTGAATTTCAACTGGCTTAGAAGGGTAAAGCATTTCACATTGTCTGGCTCGCTATCTGCTCCATTTGTGAAGCCACTGGGCATGTTTATAGCTCAGTGGTAGCCGTGCCACTCGGCACTTGCTCCACTTTGTAGTCTTTCTTCTTCACACTTTTGGTCCAGTTTTGCTCTGGGAGTTTTGTTTTATAAGAGGAAGAATGAATGAGGAACTCTGCCAAGGCAGTGCCACCACCCCACGTCAGAGAATTAGTCTACAGGAAAGAGACGTCGTAGAGTACTTCTGAGATCCCTTCAAGCGATCATTTGTTTTCTATCACACACTGCCTGCCACAGAGAAACGTTATTAATATGACTGCCTAACCGATAGTTTAATGATCAAAGCTGGAATTAATCCAAATCAAGTGCAAATCCCAACTCAATGTGATGATTATTTCGTATGGAGTCAACAGTGACTGGGACTGAGACCATCGGATAGTTGTTACGTTTGAGAATGCGGTTTAACTACGGGGCGGCTAAAACCTGGATTCGAATCCAGAATCATAGCAGTGCCAGCTGCGGTACTCTGACCCCCCCCCCTGGCTTTCTGATTACCTTTCCACTTGCCTGATTTGTAGTAACGGATGATTCTTTGCCCTGGATCAGCGGTCCCCGGGACCTTGTCCGAGGAAGAATTTGAAATGTCTACTTCCCGCAGGGACCAAAGGAAGGAACAAGGGAGAGTTCACGAACCTGCAGGGGGTCGCGACCTCCGGGAACAGCCGCATCGTCATCGCCGACAGCAACAACCAGTGTGTGCAGGTAAGGGCCTGCTTGCATCCTGACCCCCCCCCTCGACCCCACACCCCCTCCCACTCTCTCGACTCCTCACCCCTAATCCCCACACTCACCTCCACCAGCGGCCCATGCTGACACACTGCAGGATGTGGCCAGAATCACGAGCATGTGCAGCAGTCGATCCTTTGCTCTCACATTGGATTGTTTTGAGAGTTCAACCAAAGGTGACTGCAACTAAAGATGAGGCTTGCTTAGGAGGATGATACCTTTAGAGTCAACATGTGTTTCGAGTTATATGGCTGCTATAAATGTACACATAAGCCACTTTGTTGAGCTATCATTTGTGGCGAGGCTGCTTTTGAAACAGAGCTGTATAGCTCAGCGGACCTTACCTGCTAAAAAAAAAATACACGCGGGAATTCCGACTACGGCACTTTTGGCCTTTAACGGTGGCTCCTCGCCTCCTCCGTGCTGACCCTGCTCGCCAAGCTCTCTGATCCAGAGACCCTCGGGGAGCAGGGAGGGGGGAGGAGTGGGCCACATGCCTCGTGGCGGCATCGGATCGACCGCTACTGCGGAGACGTGGAGAAGGAAAGGGGACTCGCTTGGGCGCTTTGCTAAGAGGGACCCTAGGGGCCAAATCCAGAGGGTGGATTCTGCAACGCGCTGTCTAAATGCGGTGAATGTAAGCGCCTCTATTGGCTGCAAGGCTGCCGCGAGCCTGTTGCATGCAACATATACGAATGTAACAACATCGATTCTCAAACGCGCAATATGATGCACGGTGTTACGAATATCGACGTATTCCTTACACCCCTCGATTAGTAGCAAGCTGGTAGCTCAATTTAAGGCTATTTAAATCAAGACGCGAGCGGGGGACCACTGTGACCACTGAACACGGTGAACACGGTAACCACGGTGACCACTCGCCCCCTCTCACCCGTCGGAAGGTATTCACCAACGACGGGACGTTCAAGTCGCGCTTCGGCGTGCGAGGTCGCTCCCCGGGGCAGCTGCAGCGGCCGACGGGCGTTGCCGTCCACCCAAACGGGGACGTCATCGTGGCCGACTACGACAACAAGTGGGTCAGCATCTTCGGCACCGACGGGAAGTTCAAGGTGAGACGCCCCGCCCCCCCCTCCCACCGCATCTCACCGTGCGGGGCGGCCTTTAACGTCTCACCGAAGATTGAACGTCCTCTCCGTTGTACGCCCGTGGCCCACGTTCCAAAGGAGACCACGTCAACTCGAGCGGTGAAACTCTCCGGATCGCTGCTCGACTGCAGCAGGCGGATGACAGGAGGAGGGGGAGGCCTCAATTAGCACTCGACGTAATCACGCAACCTCGGAACACCTAGAGACGTTGACACCAGCTGGTAGTGAGCGGCATACCGCCATGGGGTGTTGCCGAGTTCAGAAATATTTTCCGCGTTGCCGGTCGCGCGCAAAGCCGGCTGCTATTGAACCCTGCCGATCACGTCTCCGGCTGTGTCATCGCGAACCGTCACAATCGGAGCCGACGGGGGTTCCAGAAATAACGCGGGGAACGCTCGCTCATGTGCGCGTGCGCGCTTCCCGCCCCCCCCTCCTGCAGAGCAAGCTGGGCGCCGGCAAGCTGCTGGGGCCCAAGGGCGTGGCGGTGGACCGCAACGGGCATATCATCGTGGTGGACAACAAGGCGTGCTGCGTCACGGCCTTCCAGCCGAGCGGCAAACTCGTGACGCGCTTCGGCAGCCGGGGGAACGGGGACAAGCAGTTCGCAGGTTTCCACCGGCAAACGGGCGCTCGGAGCTGGACACACACAAGCGGTTCAATTACGATGACAATGACACCAACGTGTAGCGTTCTTTTAAATTTTGCGATTGCGTTGCGACCGCAGGTCGATTGCGACTTGCCCCATTCTAATGATTGTAATTGATCCCCCCCCACTCCCGGGTTTGTCCGAAGCGGAAGGCACGAACAAGGCTTTTCAGGGCATCGCCCCTCCCTCTGTCTTTCTCTCTCTGCCCTGCAATGCCACCATAAAGAATGGGCAATTGACCTTGCGTTTAAATTTTGAATTAAAGCCTTGTGTTGTTGGTCGACATTGATTTGGGTAAAGCCGTCGCTTTCGCGGCACGAAATTAAAGAACTTTACAGCACATACGTCAACGTCAGAACAACGCTTACGACGGCATTTCAGAAACGCGTCTCCCGTTGCTTTAGTTGACCCTGCATACCAGGCTCTTTCTGCTTGGGCACACGATGGGTGGAGGAAGCCATGGGGCATGGCCAAAGTCCTCCTGGCCAGCTGGTGGGTCAGCTGCTGTTGGGAGCGAGGATTGGGAAGGAAACTCAGTTGAGGGATTGTGCCAGGAGGCGGGGGGGCGGGGGTGCCCCACAGGGTGGCGTCTCCTTCCTGTCGCGTGACCCCCTGCTGTTCATGATGAGCCTCACGACGTCCGTTTACCCCACAGGACCTCACTTTGTCGCAGTAAACAGCAACAACGACATCATAGTCACGGATTTCCACAACCACTCCGTCAAGGTATTGCCTCTGAGTAGCGACACGCTGCCCCATCCATATTAGTTTTAGATTTAACAAGAATACTTAACACGTTCATTGTTCAGAGATGGGATGTGAGTGATATTATCTGATACATACAGGTAATAGTGTCAGAGTGACTGTAAATTGTTATCATGATGTATGCATCTTGAACTTCTTTCACACCGTACGTAGCCAACCGTACTAATTGAAGGTGCGTGGGAAGGACATCAAAATAAACACAAAACTAGTTCTAACAATGAGTTTTCAATGTAGATTTAAAAGTGCATACCTCCAGTGGCTTCCTAATATCGGAAGGAAGAGCGTTCCAGACGGCCCCAGAAGTGCATCTGAGAGCACGCAATGCAGTGATGTTCTAGAAGGCCTAGAAAGCTTAGAAACTTTTCACAGATATCATTGAGTCAAATTAGAAACGTTTGCAAGCCAATAGTTTCAACTCTGGGCCCTTAAATTAATTACTGATCAAATGTTTGCCTTCACTGTTGTTCTTGTGCATAACGCTTACAAATATATCATCCCCATCATCAGTAACCCAAGTAATTTCCCTTCCACGGAGTGTGATACTCACGCCAAAATATATAGGCAGAGTCTGCTCTTAGATATTGTTTAAAAAAAACGAAAAACAACCTCTGTGTTCTGCTATCTTGTACCTTTCCGACACTTCATCTACTCTCACCATCGTGCACCTTACTATTTACATGCCCCGCACAATCATACCACCACTCAAACAATCGTCCACCAACTCCATCAACCTCCACACACTCCCCGGCTCGCTCAATCCACCCGCTCCACCTCCCTCCCTCCCTCCCGCACGCTCGATCGCTCCCGCCGGCGGCGGTGGCGCAGGTCTTCAACTCGGACGGGGAGTTCCTGCTCAAGTTCGGCTCCAACGGAGAAGGCAACGGGCAGTTCAACGCCCCTACCGGCGTGGCTGTGGACGCCCTGGGCAACATCATCGTGGCCGACTGGGGCAACAGTCGGATACAGGTGACGCCGCGTCGCATCGCTGTGCGGGGCGGACCGGTCGCATCGAGGGCCCAGTGTGGAGAACGGGCCCGTGCCTCGTGCCGATGTTATTGTTGCGTCTCAAAAGTAGATGAGCCTCTTATGCCAGAGCGGTGACATCACCGGACATGCGCGTGTTGCCTCAGCGATGACGTCATTGCACGTGACCACGCGACGGTCACGACGTCGCGTGCCTTATGACTTCATGTCATTGCCTGGGGTTCAGCGGGCTGTTTCTAAATCGGTAACCTCCGCAATTAGAAAACAAATGTGGTTTATTTATTCATGTAGACCGACACAGACAGAGAAAACAGAAGATGTCTTTGAAGAAGCCTTCATTCAACAGTGGATTGACATAAAAGCATTCGTATTCTTGTGATTGTTACATGAGCGGAGCCGGCAAAGTTCGTGACAAAGGCTGCAGGACAACTCGCTCCCACCTGCCCTCTCTCCGTCCCCCCTCCGTGCTGCCCTTAAAAGTCCCCTACGTGTCACGTGTGTTCCCTCCGCGTGCGGGACAGGTGTTCGACAGCTCCGGCTCGTTCCTCTCCTACATCAACACCTCGGCCGACCCACTCTACGGGCCCCAGGGCCTGGCTCTCACCTGCGACGGCCACGTCATTGTCGCCGACTCGGGCAACCACTGCTTCAAGATTTACCGATACCTGCAGTGAACGCCGGCCGCGGCTCCTCACTTCCTCCCAGCGCGGCGTCGCGAGCGGTTCTGCCGATGGCCGGCGGCCGGGCCTCTTGGGTCTCCGGCGTAGGGGGCGCGCGTGCGCCGATCTCTTCTCCGTGTGACCTGCGGGATCGGCCGTCGCCCTCGACGACGAACCCTCGCGTCCGTCGCGCGATGTCCCGTTTTGGGTTGAAGCGTAAACTCCCCCGCACGCGCCGTGTCATAATCAAACTAAACTCGTTTACGGTCGTCTCGCGTTCTTACGTTGGGTTACAAGCTCTGGCATGAAGTATGTTGATTTAATTTATTGTTATTGTGAACGCTTCCCGGTGTTCCTCTGGACGCTGCTTTGGGAGGCTGATCTGTTGTCACCCTGTGGGCACTCGTCCACGCGCACGCGCCCCTTCGCTCGTACCCCCCCCCCACACCTCGGAGTGTCCGTAAAGCTCCGGACTTGGAGCGACACGGCACAGACGGTCGCTCCCTGCCACGTCACCCGCGCCGGCGTCCCGAGAAGAACGAGAAAGAACCTCGCTTGTACGGAGACGGCGCGAAGCTGTCGGCACGCGGGGCGAAACGTCGGACGTCGCGCCGAACTACACGTGGGAGGCGAGACGCGCCGCTCGTCCGCCACAGGACTCCGCAGCGGGAGCGGCGGAGGGACGCCTGCACGCAGGGTCCTGATCCGGGGGGGGGGGGGTGGTGGGTGGGGGGGGAGTGGCGTGGTTCGACACGCCAGGACTTCACACGACGGACAGGAAGCTCGCGATTGTTGGCGACGAGGCGATCGTCGCACCACGGCCAGGAAGTGGACTCGGGAGACGTTCGGGGGCCATCGACGTCCCTGCCGGAGATCGGTTCATCGACTGCGTCGACGTCACGCTCTGCGTGCAGCACATTCACAGTGTGACTAAACACGCGCGCTCACACACACGCGCGGGCCACGAGAGACGTGTTACTCGTGCCTGTTCCCCAATGCGGGTAGACCGGCAGGAACTCGCACTGCACGGCTCTGGTTGTAACCTTGCACGCCGCACATCAGCACGAGTGCTCGCGTTACATTTTCCATTCGTCCGTTCTCCCCCCCCCCATCCCCGACAACTTGCAGGCGTGATGCAATGTGCTGTTTGTTTAATTTCTCATTTGCGTCGATTGTTTTAAGTGCTTTTACTCGAAGCCGTTTTTAAGCGCCGCGTGTTTGTCCTCCCGCGTGATATGGTACACCCGTGTGCAATTGCTGTACAAGCGGTGCGTGTTTACAGGTTTGTCACAATGAAAAACACTGTTGTCATGCTTAGCACTTATATCCCGAGCCGGGGAAGCTAACCCACAGCCATGGTGTGATCTCAAGGAGAGCGGTCGTCAAACTGCCCGACGCTGTCGGCACGAGGCCGAGTTGCCACATTCACGTTCGCTCCCCTTCACTGCGGTGGAGATCCGTGGGCCAAGTTCGACGTTTTGCTTCCTCCCAGGAGACGTGTCCTAGTTGTCAATCTTCTGGATTTTCTTTCAGTAATTCTCTGCTCTACGTATCGTTTGATCACAAACTGGTGCTTTCATTCCACAAATGTGCGCTTTTGTGAACGCGCGGGCAGCGTGTGCCGGGAGAGCCCGTTGTTGCACGGGGAACAGGTCTCGAAATATTGCACACGAACACACACGTGCGCGTACAGGATGCAGAGTTCGATCCGTTTATAGAGACCCCACCAATGTTCGAACGGCCTCGTTTGCTTCTCAAAAGGAGTGATGTAAGCAAGTCAGGTTGGCTTTGTTGAAATAGGTGTAACAGGAGATTGTTTAAACATTGGATAAGTGTGTGTTGACATCTGTGTCGACGTTTAGAGGCTATGAAATAAAATGTCTCTGTAAGAATACATTTTCCCCTTTTTTTCTGGCAACAAAACAGGTGTTAAGATGTAAAAACACCAAGCTGAAACCTTTTACAAGGAATCATGTCTGCATTAACCACAATACTTGTGGTCAGAATGCAAACAAAAAACATACTCTGATAATATATGCATTGTCTTTGAAACTGATTGGTCCACACCAAAAACAATGCATATATTATCAGAGTGTTTTTTGTTTGCATTCTGACCACAAGTATTGTGGTTAATGCAGATATGATTCCTTGTAAAAGGTTTCAGTTTGGTGTTTTAACATCTTAACACATGTTTTGTTGCCAGAAAAAAAGGGGAAAACCTCTTCTCATATTTTGGTACTGGCAAAGGAGGCCCCACGATGTTGTCTTTATATTTTCTCTTATTAGTGGGGTGTCTGTAAGCGGATCACTTTAGGTTTTGTTGGCACCATGCTCACCACAAGTGAATGAACGCTCACAAATTCCGCTTCCGAGAATGACGGGGGAGCGATGGTGAGAATGTGGTGAGAGAGGAGGCGGTGAGAGAGGAGGCGGCGTCTCCATCGGCGAGTGGCAGTCTTGCGGAGTGTTTTCTGGCTCCATGGGAGAAGTGGTGGCCACGGTTTTGTCATACAACCACCTCTGCACCTCGTTCGTGCCACGGGCCACTATGGAGGTGGGTGCCGTTTCTTTTGGTTGTACAATTTACAAGGGGAGGGAGGGAAACAAAATAATCGCCGTCGCTCGTTGCTGACAATTTTTGGCAACGTATAAAAAATTAGCAGAGGCAGGTGAAGTTTGGACGCAAAGTGCGAAGCACCCCACACCCACCCCAACTGCGTTTGTCGGTGGGAGGTGCAAATGTTCGTCGTGGAGTTTTGTTTTCTGTTTTCGTTGGCACTCGGTGAGATGTTAAACCCACGCAGATTTTTTTGCACGAAAGAAAAGAAAGGAAAGAAGGGCGGCACGCTCCGGACGCCGTCGCCCTGTGTTTGATATGGGGGCGACGCTGCTTGTATTTATTTTCGGTGGTGGTCGCAGTCATCACGTGAGTGCATGGCCCTCTCCGCCGCACCTCTCCCCCAACCCTCGTGCTGCCCACCGAGGCCTCGAGCCGCCCCGACTCTGTCATTATTTTGTGTGTGTGTGGAGGGGAGTGGTGGACTTTTCGATCTCGCTGTAAGAGGACGAGAGGGGGGCCGCCTGCGTCGAGAGGTATTTATTTGGTGCAGTGCAGTATTTTCGGTGTTGAGTCATTTGTGCGGTTTTTTTTAATTTGAAGGGCTTGGTAACAGCAACGTCTCCCCTACCTGGTGCGCACACACTCCCAGCAGTATCGCGTCCGAAACGACAACACTCACTTACAAAGCTATTCACCGACGTGGCGTGCTAATAATGATGTTGATAATAATAATAAAACCGATACTCAATGATATAAATGTCCTTGAAATATTTAACGAAACGTAACAGCGAAGTGGGAGTTCGTGAAGCGCGTGACCCATCCTGTTGTGTGTTGGTGTGTGTGCTGCTTAGTCGGCGAATCGGTTATTTTGGGGCGGTATTTGCGGGCAGCAAACGGGGTCGAGATGGGGGACGGGGGCATGGTCGACGATCGGCGTTCTAAATGGGTCATTTGCTTAGACGTTTGGCAGCACAAAAAGTAAAAAAAAATGTTTCAGACCGGCGATACTTAAAATGCATCCGGCAATATTACATAGAAGAAGAAGAAACAGCAACTGTATAATATGTAACACAATGCTGGTATGGGTTTATTTTTGGTGTGTATTAAAGAATGTTTCTTATTTTAAGTGAGTGAACTCTCGTCGTTTTGTTTCTTTCCTGTGTAAATTATTAAGCAGGGATGGGAAAACGGTGTCCACTACGATTTAGCAAATTCCTTTTCATCACTTTGTATTTAAACTGAATGTTTGTTTTGCCGTTTCCCAGCCAAAAATCCACATCTTAAATTCCCAATGTTATCAGTGTGTAGTTCATTCGGCAAATGTTAATTAGTTATTCATTATTTATTCATGTGCAGGGACGTTCGGTTCGTGTACATTAATTTCCTAAAGTCAAACTTTACCACAGATGACGGCAGGCCACTTTCGTTTTTGTAATTTCGAGTTTTTTCGCGTCACGCTTTCATATTTAATCAACGTGAAGTTTTTTTTTGCATTTGTACCTTGATTATTTGCGGAGTTTATTTAAAAAGACGAGGGAAATTTCGTTGTAAATATTCACCAAATCGACGTGTTCGTATCGACATGCTAACTACATACGAACATACCAACATGTCAGTACGAACATGTGTTCGTATGTCGATTTATTTTTTTCTCGGCAAACAAAATTGGTACAACTTCTAAATGGAATCGGTACGCTGGACTTTTTAGTCAGTGTCCATTAGTTATTTACAAGTTTTTATTGGGGAAAAAAATAGTTATATTTAATCAACAATCACCAAAACTTGCATTATCATTTTTATTCGTGTAATTTCATGGGGGGCGGGGACTTTTTTAATCAATGTCGAGTACTTTTTATGCAGAATTCTCAGTTTGTATTTGAAAAACAAAACAAAACGTATGGGTTACGTCACTTTATTTTTGTTAAATGTTACCACAAATTTTATCGTCATTTTTATTGTCATTTACATCAATACAAAGCTCTCTTTTTGTTGAACGTGTACATTCATTTATTTGTAGTATTTTATATTTTTTAAAAATCTTGGACAATATTCACAAAAAAATGGTTGGGACGCAATTGGAACACAAACTGCAGAATTACGTGAACCTGTTGAAGGAAAAGCGGACTCACGCTGAAGAGGTGGTTCAGGGCAGGTTTGTGGGGGGAGGGGGGTGGGTGCTTTCACTAAACTGAACTTGATAATGTACGCTAAAGTACCAATGTGCTTGAGAAGAAGCAACTTGTCGCTTCGGTGCGTCGTGATCTTTCATGGCATGGTGCAGAAGCACCGTGCGCGATTAACACCAAACAGGGAACGCACGCTGGCAAGGCACAACAGAGTGACCGACAGGAGCACGTGGATGGGAGAAGACGCCGATCACGTGGATGGCGTCATTCAAGGTGTTAAGCAAAGTAAGTGGGGTTGGCCAGGGCACGTCCTCACTTGAAGGGAACGAGGAGTAATCGTGGAGTGACAGCCACGGAACGAAACGCGTCCCTGAGAAGGCGTCTAACAAGATGATTAAGTGATAGTGTAACAGGTTTTTACCCTCCTATCTGGCACCAAAACTGACACATTTATACAAGGGATCATGTTTGCAATAACCACAACACAAGCAGTCAAAATGCAAACAAAAGCGGCAACTCTGATAACGATATGCACTGTCCTTGAAATTAATTGGTCTACACCTGAAACGTCTTTTCTGAGAGCCTAGTCTCCACTGGTGTTGGACCAGATGACGCCAAAAGGCGTACAACTCAAAAACAGCGCACCATCAGAGTATTGAGTGGGGTTGTCCAGGGCACGTCCTGACCTCTTACCCCGAGCTCTCAATACCCTGATAGTGCGCTGTTTCTGAGTTGTACGCCTTTTGGCGTCATCTGGTCCAACACCAGTGGAGACTAGGCTCTAAGAAAAACCGTCTCGGGTGTGGACCAATCAAATTCAAGGACAGTGCATATCATTATCAGAGTTGTCTCTTTTTGTTTGCATTTTGACTGCTTGTGTTGTGGTTATTGCAAACATGATCCCTTGTATAAAGGTGTCAGTTTTGGTGCCAGATAAAAGGGTAAAAACCTATTACTATATCTTGCTACTGGCAAAGGAGGTCTCAATGATTAAGTGAATTCATCAGCTTGTGTGAAGGTGCTATGTAGATAATGGCTTGGGGTTGGCCTTCCTCCAGCTGTGAATTGACCATGGCTGACTATTTGCCAACATTTAGAATGCACAGTACATATTTTTTGAAGATTTAACGATTTTGGCATCGGTTAGAATGCACAGTATTTTATATTTTCTGAGGAAAATATTTGTTTGCCTAATTTCAGTATTTTTGCAATTTATAATACTTTAAACGAGTGCATTTATTATCTACAGCTCTCAATTGCGAAAATGAGAAAGTGTCCACGTTCACCAAAAATGACGTTTTTGTCACTTTCAGAGATAACATACTTTCTATTATTTCGATTTCTATAATTGTAAAGTACATTTTAGCGATTGCACAATCAATATTTATTTATTTTGGAAAAGGGATAATTTTTTCATCAGCATTCAGGAAGTCCTTTTTGCAATCTTCTGAGGAGATTTTTCGTCAAATTTCAATATTGTATCGACGTAGTCTGCTTTTGACAGGGGATGTTCATTATTTACGGTTCATATTAAAAAAATCGATTTTACATCAATATCGATCCATATATTTTTCCTTCATTTTTTTTCTCGACGAAAACTCGCAATGTGTTTTATTTATATTACAACGTTTTTTTGGGGTCATACTAAACATCCGAAAATGTATGAAAAATAAGAATAGTACTCTTTGGGTATTTCGGTAAAGTCACAGATAGAAAAAATTATAAAAAAATACTACTAATAAAATAATAAGAATAGGTTTTACCCTCTGGCAATAAAACAGGAGGTCTTAAGTATTTCAAACACCAAATATAAATCTTTTGCAAGGAATCAAGTTTGCATTAATCACACGTACTAGTGGTGAACATGAAAACAAATATGCTCTGATAATATTTGCATTGTCTTTGAAACTGATCCGCATATATAACTTTTGATATTCACCAACACTTTATCCTCTTTCTGTTTTTAAGTCAAAACTGAAAATACTGAAGACACCACGCCTAAATTTACTGCATATTAATAAAACAGTTGAATTAATTAGAAAAATTGTTAATAAAATGAAAACAATCCACGTGCCATTTTTGACAAACATTGCCGTAAGAGTTTAAGTAAGAGTTTACCCCCTCATTCCAACTAAAACTATCATTTCCTTACATTGCCTGCTTACACATTCAGGATATAATATGCATTTGTTACTGGTTTCTAGAAAAGCAATACTTTTTTGTGCAAATTTGTTTCCAACTTTAACCTTTTCCCCTCATCGTATAACTACATTTGTCGGCATATTTTGCCGTCTGATTGCTAATTCTTTCCAATAATTAAATTCAGCACGTACGCATTTTGAACAGTTTAACAAAAAGCAAATAACATTTTGGTCAGTTTTAACCCAAAACGAAACATTGTTATTTGTCTGCATGTTTAACATTTGCTATACATTTTAAAGTATATATTATTTACAAAATTTAGGCAAGTATACATTCATTATATATTTAACATATTTTTTATGTCTTGGTTAAGTATGGTAATTTTGTTACCATTTGGTTTTGTACAATTTTTGTTGTACCAGTATTGCATATTGTTTTCTGCGCACACCAATTGATTACAATTTAATCTCCATATATATAAAAGGCAAAGATGTGAATGTGTCTGTTCAAAATGTTTAGTGTACTTCCCGACATGCAACAAACTTGAAATTAGCCATGTGGGTACTTTCCAGACTGTACACCATGCAAAAATTATCAAAATAGACTTTTGTATTTTTTGGGGGGAGGGAGCTCAATAATGCATATTTTATTTACACGGCAGGTGAGCTGTGACGTCAAATCTGTGACGTGGCCCACGCACGTGGAAGCGTAACGCATTGTAGTGTAGTGGTTAGCGCACTGCGCTACGAACCCGGCAACCAGAGTTCGATTCCCGCTCACGGCCACCACCGGTGACGATTATTTGAACCGCTTCTGGGTCTCCCCTAGGTCGACTCAGCATCAAACGAGTAACTGGTGTGGCGTGTGAACATCGCCACTGGGGAGACAAAGGCGGCCGGGCGTGGTGAATCCAAGTCCTGGGTGAAACCGGGTAGTAAAGCTAGTCATAGAATAAAATCTAGTCTACATTTCTTGGTTTAACACCACCCCCCCCCCAAATGTTTTATATAATTAATTAACTTTATTTGTTCTAGATTAATTTATTATTTGTCTCTCTCTCCAACGTTGAATAATTTTTAGCTTGTATGCAATCCAGTGTCAAACTTTTCACAGAGTTGTTTTTATTGAATAAAGCGCGATCCCGTTTACAGTGCGCCGCGGAAACTTTTCCACAAACTTTGAGTGCTTCCAAAAGAGGCTGCTGGGAGTAATACTTTGGATTCATGGAGACTGAGTGGGGGGGGGGGGGGCATACACGTGACCTCGTCAGGGGCGGAGCCACAGGGGGGGCTGGGGGGGGGGCTCAGCCCCCCCTGAAATTTTGGGAAAGTCGGTAATCTGGATAACCGGATATCCGACTGCTGCAAAATGCTGCAGGCTGCCACCTTGTGTGCTGCCCAGCAGGCTGCCACCTTGTGTGCTGCCCTGCAGGCTGCCACCTCGTGCTGCCCTGCAAGTTGCCACCTTGTGTGCTGCCCTGCAGGTTGCCACCTTGTGTGCTGCCCTGCAGGCTGCCACCTTGTGTGCTGCCCTGCAGGCTGCTTGAGCGGCAGCCTTTATAACTTATCGAACGTATTAGCCACATCAGCGGCTCCGACTTAATAATAAACTCCGCGTTCAAATCCAATAAAATTGTTTTATACATTTGTGGCGCCCATTGGAAAACATACACTGGATATCTCATAATATTGAAGTCAGCCCCCCCAAAGTCAAAATCCTGGCTCCGCCCCTGGACCCCGTGCAGTTGTCTTGCAGCTATTACTCGTTCGTCTGCGCAGTGTCCAGGTGGCAGCAACCCTCGTGCAACACACACGCGGGGTTATCACGTCAAAGGTAGTTCTATGTCATTTAGAAAATATGGCTGATATATGCAATCAGTCAGAATATGAATGCACCGTCACCCACCATCTTGGCGGAGATGAAAACATCAGTTCGTCAGAGTAGGCCTTACACCGTGGTATTTTATGAGCATTTTTATCAAAGGAACGTGAGACAATAATGTACATCGACAGACAAACAATGCCCAAGGAAAAAGCCACTTCATGACAAGTACTCAAGATTGCCGACATCTTTAAAGTGTCTGAAACATGCCTCTGAAATCACAGAAACTGCCCAACCAAAAATCACAAGCATCCACTTCAGGCTTTGCATAAAAACAATGTATTCTACTGTGAAATGACTCACAGGAGTCAGTTGATGAGGTGCCACCCATCAAAAAAAAGTTTCATTTAGAGTAAGTTTTTTTACAATTCTGTGAATGTATTTGTCAAAATGTTGGCCCAGTATTTTGGCTTAAACATTCATCAATGGCGCATTCTTCGTTAAACAAAAATGGAAAATCCATTTTCTTCCTTAACATGTAAATATAAAATCTAAATACTTACGGTATGTGGGAAAATAATCCAAAATCTTGTTCATAGACAAGTTCTGGCCTTGACTGTCTTCTTCCGTCATGACAAATCTCACATTGCCACCTGTTTATAAAACGCATTTCAAATATATATACACATATGTATACCATAAAACATACCACCACTGCAAGTAGCTATTGTAAGGAAAATTGTCAGCTCACAACTCCTAGAATTGTAACAATTGTTGGGCCGACGAGCATTGACCACTGATTCAGCACTCGCACTCAGTTCCCGGCGAGTGCATCCTCGCTCCATCGCTCCTGACATTCCCAGGGGTCAGACTCGCTCCTCCCTCTCATCTCCCCAGGGGTCAGACTCGCTCCTCCCTCCCATCCGCGGGTCTGAGCAGCCGCTGGATAACGGACGTCGCGTTCCCAGTGAGAGGCGTCCTCGCAGCAGCGGCCACGGCTGCCGGGGCGGCGGGCGGTCGACCGATCTGCTCGCTCGCCGAGGCCCTCTGGCGCAGCGCGTCCGGGCCGCGGATCACGCTGGGCACGAGCAGGCGGCGCAGCGCCGGGTAGGCGTCTGGGCCCACGGAGGCCGGGCGCCGGTCCGCGGCCGACTCGACGGCCTCGGAGGAGCGGTCCGGGCGAGCGAGGACGCTGGCGAGGACGGACGAGGACGGCGGTGGAGGAAGCGGTGGCGACGGTGGCAGGGCAGGCAGGACCGATCGTCCGTCGGCGCTCACGATGGTCCTGGGCCGCGGCCGGCTCGGAGGGAGAGCGCGCATCACCACGGGCACGTGCACCGACCCCACGGCCCTGCGGTCATCGAGCAGGAAGCGCCGGTGTGTCACTCAACCAGCTGCGACGTAGCGCCGATGAAGATATTAATTGTAAATTTGCCCACAATTGTATCTCCGTTGCGCTAATGGCGATGCATCACGAGACGAAGTACCAGAGCGCAACCCCCGGTGTTAGAGTATAGCTCAGGGAGGTGGTTATTACAGAACTACTTCTGGTGTATCTTCCAAGTGGTCTTGTCCACACAATTGAGGACAAGCACTTGACCACCCACTATACCATATGAGAGAAATTTAAGCTGCGTGACAGTTAAACCAATATGTTTATTTTCATAGCTTTAATTTAGCTAGATTAAGTGTAGAACCAAATTTAATGGGATGGTTTTATTGCAAAGACAGTGCCCTACTGAGTTAAGGGTTGGTGGATCACGCCGAGATTTTATGAGACTTCCAAACCCACTGGGCTCCAAGGTGGCAAAAAGCACAGCAAAAGGGTTTGTGAATTAGTTTGTGCCGACTTTTGAGAGGTTACCCTCACGTCTGTGTGCGGTTTTTCCATACACACACTTGTTTCTTAGGAAAAGCCAAACACTTGTTCATGTACAATGGAACTGACTAAACAGCCCAATGCAGGCTTGCACATAAGTGGAATTGCATGATCAGACTGCACTGGGACAAAGAGTCACTATAGTTACTGTACTAGGACTTCTCTTTCTTAATCAATGAATACAAATTTAATGTAAACGTTTGTGTAAAATCCATGATAAACTACGATTTCAAACTGCTGTATGACATAGCCTTTGCAAATATAAATCTTAACCGTAACGATTAAATATTTCCTTAAGTTACGCGTGCAGCAAAACCGAAGGAAACCTACAAACACAACATCCAACCAACCAAACTCACATGTCTGTGCCTTGTCTCTCTCCCAAATTTCACACTTAACTTCTAATTGAGCAATCTTTGAAGTGGCGGAATCGACCAGGCCATGTGTTGATTGTGTGTTGACCGACTCTGTGTCGCATTACATTACATTTCCAAATTTTACTAAGTTAGTTTGATTTAGTGTTGTCTCTGTCTCCCCTCAGCGTTGGCAGTGGAGCTCTCATTGTGTGATCTCCCATTGACATGCTAATTCTTCTAACCCCCCCCCCTCTCTCTGTGTACCCCCTCTCTAGCTATTTAAGGCCTCGACACAGAGACGTTGTTTCTCTGTGTGTCCATGCGTGTGTCTCTCTCTCTCTGTGTCTCTGTGTTAACTCTTTCCGCTTGTGTGTGTATGTGTCTCCGGTTCTGTGTCTCTTGGACGTAATCAACCAGGTAGGGTGTTGACTGCTGTGTCAGCCGACTTTCTGCGCTGTGTTGCATTATATTTCTAAGTTTACTCGGTTTGTTTCTCTTTCATTTGTACCTGATGACGATTGCTTGCTTTGCAATCGAAACGTCGTATGATATGTAATTTATTATTTTCTATTTCTACGTGACTTTACCGAAAGAACCAAATAATAATTCCTGCAGTCACGAAAGCGTCAAATCAACCAAACTCACCACCCAACCCACCAAACTCCACACCCAACCCACCAAACTCCACACCCAACCCACCAAATTCCACACACAACCCACCAAACTCCACACCCAAACAACCAAACTCCACACCCAACCAACCAAACTCCACACCCAACCCACCAAACTCCACACACAACCCACCAAACTCCACACCCAGCCAACCAAACTCCACACCCAAACAACCAAACTCCACACCCAACCAACCAAACTCCACACCCAACCCACCAAACTCCACACCCAGCCAACCAAACTCCACACCCAACCAACCAAACTCCACACCCAACCAACCAAACTCCACACCCAACCAACTAAACTCCACACCACACCAAACTCCACACCCAAACAACCAAACTCCACACCCAACCAACCAAACTCCACACCCAACCAACCAAACTCCACACCCAACCAACCAAACTCCACACCACACCAAACTCCACACCCAGCCAACCAAACTCCACACCCAACCAAACTCCACACCCAAACAACCAAACTCCACACCCAACCAACCAAACTCCACACCCAACCAAACTCCACACCCAAACAACCAAACTCCACACCCAACCAACCAAACTCCACACCCAACCAACCAAACTCCACACCCAACCAACTAAACTCCACACCACACCAAACTCCACACCCAAACAACCAAACTCCACACCCAACCAACCAAACTCCACACCCAACCAACCAAACTCCACACCCAACCAACCAAACTCCACACCACACCAAACTCCACACCCAGCCAACCAAACTCCACACCCAACCAACCAAACTCCACACCCAACCAACCAAACTCCACACCCAACCAACTAAACTCCACACCACACCAAACTCCACACCCAAACAACCAAACTCCACACCCAACCAACCAAACTCCACACCCAACCAACCAAACTCCACACCCAACCAACCAAACTCCACACCACACCAAACTCCACACCCAAACAACCAAACTCCACACCCAACCAACCAAACTCCACACCCAGCCAACCAAACTCCACACCCAACCAACCAAACTCCACACCACACCAAACTCCACACCCAAACAACCAAACTCCACACCCAACCAACCAAACTCACCACCCAACCAACCAAACTCCACACCCAACCAACCAAACTCCACACCACACCAAACTCCACACCCAACCCACCAAACTCCACACCCAACCCACCAAACTCCACACCCAACCCACCAAACTCCACACCCAACCAACCAAACTCCACACCCAGCCAACCAAACTCTACACCCAACCAACCAAACTCCACACCCAACCCACCAAACTCCACACCCAACCCACCAAACTCCACACCCAAACAACCAAACTCCACACCCAAACAACCAAACTCCACACCCAACCAACCAAACTCCACACCCAACCCACCAAACTCCACACCCAAACTCCACACCCAGCCAACCAAACTCCACACCCAAACAACCAAACTCCACACCACACCAAACCAACCAAACTGACAACCAAAACCCATGGTGCCTCACAGCGCCTGGGATCACACAAGAAGGAAATTCTGTTATTATAAAAAAACAGAGTTATTCACATCGACCACTTCACATATTTCCAGTCGCACCCAACACTAATACATTTTAGTCCCTATGTAGTACAATGTTCAGGTCCTGCGAGAACATATGGAAAGAGTGATGTAAATTGGAGACATTGGCGCCAACTACTGTTGGCAACAATTCAGACTACTTTGGCTGGGTGGGTCTAATTTAAAAGAACGGGAGGCCAACAAATTGGAATCACTGCTTAGTGGCCTTGCACTGGCCACGTGGGAGGAGAAATATGGCATGAAAAGGTGACTAGAAGCAGAGGCCATCCACGCAAAATTGATGGCATCATTTCATTTTTATAGATCTAAATAAAATGGGGATTGATGGCATGAAGGAGGATTTAAACGAGAACAACATCAATCTGAACGTTCAGAAATATTAAGAGCATTGGTCTACGGCGAGCAATAGCCATGACCAGATAATTTTCGAGTATCAAGTTTGTTTCATTTTGTTTAACCAGGCGAGAACTCAAGAGACGAGGATGAGTCGCATTTGCAAGGAGTGACCTGGGGTCAGAGAAAAGAAGGCGTCAGAGACGTTCCTCCAGCCTCCTCGCCAGCCTTCATGCGATGAATGACTGATGAGCCGGAGACACGGAGAGAGGGGAGACGCATCTCTGTAGGATGCAGCACAGGGCTCCTCTAAGCTCGGTCACTGTACCCGGGTGCATTCCGCAATTCCGGTTGCAGCGGGGAGCGACCCGAGTGGCTCAACGCAACCCAGCCGTTCCGGCAGGTGCGGCCTTCGGATGCAGACACGAGGGCGGGGTGAGAAAAAATACCAGGGGCATCCACCCCACCCCACCCACCAATCCAAAGACAAAGATTCCCCTGACAGCCAAAACAGAGCTGTTGGGGCCAGTGCTGTTAGCACCAATGAAGGCCGGCACGGCACACCACGCCCAGCCGCCTTTGCCTCCCCAATTCCAATGTTTAGACATCGCACCAGGTACTCATTTGAGGCTGAGTCGACCTAGCCGAAGGTCCAGGACCGATGATTCAGATAATCGTCACCGGTGCTGGCCGCGAGTGGGTCGCAGTCTTTGTGGCTCAGCGTGCTAATTGTTGCACTACCGCTCCCCGCCCACCCACCAACCCACCAACCCTCCCCACCCACCAACCCACCAACCCTTCCCACCCACCCACTCACCCAACCCTCCCCACCCACCAACCCAACCCACCAACCCTCACCGCCCACCCACCAACCCACCAACCCTCACCGCCCACCCACCAACCTACCAACCCTCCCCACCCACTCACCCAACCCACCAACCCTCCCCACCCACCAACCCACCAACCCTCACCGTCCACTCACCCAACCCACCAACCCTCTCCACCCACCAACCCTCACCGCCCACCCACCAACCCACCAACCCTCACCACCCACCCACCAACACCCTCCCCACCCACCCACTCACCCAACCCTCTCTGCCCACCCACCCACCAACCCACTCACCCACCAACCCGCCAACCTACCCACCCACCAACCCTCTGCCACCCACCCGTCGCCACCACCCGTCGCCACCGCCCGTGGCCCCTGGCACGTGTCACATGGCACGTGTCACGCAGTGTTAGACAGCCACGTTTGTTTAAAAAAAAAGCCTTGTGTTTAGGGTAACAAAAAAAAATCAAAGGTTCAAATAGTTTGTCTCTGATGTGATTGTGTAAATGTGGAGCAGCTCTCATCTCTTGTTTATAGTCCTAAGAAAAATAGTGGACATTCTACATTCCGATGGCAGGGGCTACGTTATAGGTAGTGCAGACAAATTAATTGCTGTATTGTGCTGTTATGCTCTCGAGTTCACCAACCCGAACTGACCGGTGTTGTGAAGTACGGTCAAATAACTCCCAAGACTACGACCGGCATGGAGAGGCCCTCATCCAGCAGTGGATTGACTAAAGGGCTGCACGCACACGCAGCAGGGGGAGAGTCCATCAACAGGACAACCGGCTTCACACGAAGCGGTTCTTTAGGTGAGCGTGAAGGGCCGAGTTAACTCTGGACGCTCTCGCCATGGCCGCCACCTCACCCGGCTTTTTGCAGCCATAGCACAGAAAAGCGAAATGAAGCGCTCGGCGTTGAACAAATCTCCCCTCGCTTCGCTTGGACAGCCCGGCGAGCGCCCACGGTGGTGACCCCCCCCCCCCCCGCCACTGGGTCGCGGTCACGGAGTCACGCGAACAACTCAAAATTCCGCCGAGCAGATGAGCACGAGCGTCCGTATCCCTCACCTGCTCTCGGCGGTTACGGTAGGTTCCGGGCCACCGAGGCGGTCTGTGCCGACGCTCGCACGTCGCCTGTCGAAAGGCGACCCGTCTCCCGGACAGAGCGGTCCACGACCGCCCAAATCGGCCGCCACTTCTCTGTCCCCCGCGGCGGGGGAGTGCGGCGGGGTTGTGTCGGGGCTGCTGGGCGCCTCGGTCGAGCCGTTGGTGTCGTTGTCCCCGTTCCTCCGGTGGTCTCTGGGCATCTCCTTGAACTGGTAGACCAGCCGCTGCCCCTCCACCTTGGCCAGGATACCGCGCTGGTAGTAGTACCTGTCGGATGACAGGGGAGGGCGGTGCAGAGAGCGGACCTTGAAGGATGCCTCACAACGACTGTGGGATCTAGCAGAAGGAAGGAAGTGGTGGCAAGGTGCAGTGGCATCGACGGGATTTGGCCACGATGACCCCGTGACCCCGTGACCACGAGCCGGCTGCACGCGCTAATTAATAAAATCCAACATCTTCTGCATGTGATAGGAAACTCGTACAAGTAGACGGAAAACACGTAAAAGCAATCACAAAAAGGCTATTCCCAGACGACGAAAAACAAAACTGTGACCGTTGAATTGGTCCCTTTAGGCCGTTACCGCAGCGCTCTTCCCATCGTCTCGTAGTTCATGTCGGGCTTGTTCTTGTGGCGCCCCCACAACTTGGACACCGCTTTCGAGTCCACCAGCTTGAAGATCCCCTTGTCACGCTCGGTCCACTTGATGTAGCGGGGACACGTGTTGCTGTCGTGCAGCAGACCCAGCAGGAACTCCCACAGGTACGGGCCTGCAGAGAGACGCGCAGGGCCACCGGGGGTGAGGGTTGGGGGCAATGCCACAACTTCAGACATTTAAGGCCCTTTGAAGACGTGAGTAATCGTTCGCGTGATCTTGACATGGCGTTTGCTTGGGCATAGTACGTAAATCGATTGCCACCGTTATACAGGTAGAAATTATGATTCCACCTTTCTTAGTAAGGGAGAAGTTATCATAAAATAACGCAGTGTCAGATGTACCCGGATTAAAAAAAAATATTCACGCTTGGTAGGGTTATGGCTAATTCAGTTTCATGCGTGCCAACCGCTGAACTGCCATACACTGATACAACTACCTTGCAAAAATTGTTTGACTGTGAGGTTGCCTAACTGCCGATGGAGATATGCGATGTGTAGACTGGTCACTGCCACTTTGTGTGGCTGCTCGACCTCGCACGATCGGAGAGCTTTGTCGCTCATCTACCCCTGCTGCCCGTGGTCTGGCACAAAGGACAGGCTTCCCCCCCCCCCCCTGTCTATACGCGACTGCCTCGATCAATAACGATAATATGCCCACCGTTTCTGTACAGCGTCGTGAGGAACAGTCGCAATCAGACGCCGCTATCTAAATCAAAATGATACCGCATTTTACTACCCTGGTGAGCCACCCGGCCCCCTCTCCTGAATGCATTTTGTTTTTTACCTTTCCCTTCCCGTGCCTTCTTCTTTATCTTCCCGTCCGGACACTCGGGCAGTAAACCTTCCGCATTCTTGGGCCGCCGACCTGAACGATGCGCACAAACCGTTCGCATAATGATCGCCCAACCGCCCATGTCGAGTCAAAGAGATCGTGGTCATAGGTCCTTATCAAGTACAGCGGTGTCTCATTCCCGTCGCACATTCAGAAGCCCACATTGGCGCTCGCAGCGATTGAATCTTTCGCGGCGGCGCAGTCTCTATGAGCCCGCACAATTCAGTTTTCCACAGGCACCGATGATCTCCTTTCATTTGTAAATAAAGCCCCCCGCACATCGCACGCCCCTCATGGTAAGTAATCTGCATCTTGTGGGGGAGCGGGGGGCACGTGGATAACTGGCGTTTGAGAAGCAACGGGTTATTGTGGCCACAGCGATGCTGGCGAGCAGCACGCGGCTCCCGGGCAGTTCAAGCGCGGCTCTTGATGGAGACGCAGCCCGGGGCACTTGCCCGTGACGGCAGAGCGAGATACAAGGACTCCCGCGGCGCTCCCGCAGATATATCCTTTCAAGGCTCCACAGACAACGAGCGCACGAGCGAAGCGGCTGGGAGTCCACCCCGTGTGTTCCCTGAGGCCCTCGGCCACACGAAGGCTTTGGTATGCAGCTCATAGGGGTCAGGAAGTTCGGCCACCCCCTTGCCAATAGCAAGGATTACCTCGCCTCTTCCTGGCCGGGCTGGGGTTGGACGAGGGAGAGGCGTGAGAGCCGAGGGGGGCGTCCACCCAGAGCGCAGTGCCGTCGTGCTCAGGGCCGGTGGCGCAGGGCGACACGAACGCACAGCGCACTGTGGGAAACACACACAGAGGGGCCACACGCACACACAGAGGGGCCACACGCACACACACAGAGGGGCCACACGCACACACACAGAGGGGCCACACGCACACACACAGAGGGGCCACACGCACACACACAGAGGGGCCACACGCACACACACAGAGGGGCCACACGCACACACACAGAGGGGCCACACGCACACACACAGAGGGGCCACACACACACAGAGGGGTCACACACACACACACAGAGGGGTCACACGCACACACAGAGGGGACACACACGCGCACACAGAGGGGACACACATGCACCAGTGACCACGGCAGCACTGACGAGGCTCTTTGAGATAATTTTCCCAGCACCTCCGATTAGCACGGTTGGCTACGTACGGTGCCAAAGAAGTTCAACGTACGTCAATTTCCAGAGGACAGTCGAGAAAGCCAGAGAGGCAAGCTGAGGACTGAGCTGGAGTCCAGAAAACACTGATGTTACTCTCATCTTGCGACAAGAGCTGCCAGTGTCGACAGGTTTTATCCAGTTAAAATAATTAGTTTCCATCTTATACTTTTAATAGAACCATACCTGCACTGCTGGTATCGAGGCACCAGAAGGGTAGCATCACATTAACAATGAAACCAAACGCACGGGCAGCATTATAATCTACAAAACATCGCAATGGGTATCAACAACGTACAGTACATAACCTAAAGATAGATCACTGAAAGCATCGGGGTACCAGAGGTACCATGGATTCTACTTCACCTGAAGAGAGTCACGTGACTCAAATGGTCTGTTTTCTATAAAATGGTGAATTTTCAATAAAAACAATCCTAAACTAATCTATTACCCGGCCATATTAATATACTAGCTGTACTACCCGGCTTCGCCCGGGACTTGGATTCACCACGCCCGGCCGCCTTTGTCCCCCAAGTGGCGATGTTCACACACCACAGCAGTTACTCGTTTGAGGATGAGTCGACCTAGGGGAGGCCCAGGACCGGTTAAAATAATCGTCACCGGTGGTGGTGGCCGTCAGCGGGAATCGAACTGGGGTCGCCGGGTTCGTAGCGCGGTGAGCTAACCACTACACTACAATGCGTTACGCTTCCACGTGCGCGGGTCGCGTGACAGATTTGACGTCACAGCTCGCATGCTGTGCAAAAAATATAAATGCATTATTGAGCTCCCCCCCCCCCAAAAAAAAAAAACAAGTGTATTTTTATAATTTTTGCATGGTGTACAGTCTGGAAAGTACCCACAATACAAATTTCCAGTTTGTTGCATGTTGGGAAGTACGCTAAACATTTTGAACAGACACACATTCACAACTTTGCCTTTTACATATATTGAGATATAAGATATGTTTGATAACTCAGATTTTCCTTTTTTTATTTACTGTATATATGTGTAATTTATATATTTTTGACTTTACATCGGCGTGTTTTTACTGCTGCGATTCATCATTCGGGGTCACATCACAAAAGCCACTGAACTAGATTTTAATCAATGCCTACCGCAGACTCAAAGTTTCAATTGACACGCCTTCCAAAGACCTTTTCCCTTCGATTCAGCAAAAAAAAAACTTCACCAAACCATTTTTCTTTATGTGCGCACGTAATATAAACCTACGCAAGCCCGTAAACCGCTGACTCGGCAAACTAGTTAAATTGTTTGTTTATTGCCAGGCCAGTAACTCCCTAGCTCGGAGGCAGAGACACACCTAGCAATGCATTGCAACACCATCGTACATCCTGCGGGTATGGAAAGGGCACAGTCTTAGAGTGATCAGGCAGTGCAACTGCACTGTGGTTCATGGGCCAGAGGAGGCACAGGGCCCATGTTGTACACACATGCATGTCACTCTCCTCTATGTAGGTCTATGGGTCTTTGTGTGTAAACCTACGGGCCACTATCGTTGATGTGAATTTGTGTACGTATTTGTTTAACCAGGTGAGAACTGAAATACCAATGTGTTTTATTTGTGACCTGGGACATCAGTTCGCCAGTAGGGGGCGATTATCGCTGTGCGTGATACCAATTGAGTAATTTGCGAGTTTTTATAATTTTTGCAAATTTGAACGATGACATTGGCACACGATGGCCCACACTTGCGAACGACGTCACAGGTTTCTTTAACGTCCACTTTGAAGCAGACGGCGTGTAGCATTGTGGTGATTACACCCGCAGTATGAATCAGGGTGGCCACTGAACCTCTGCAACAAGCGACAAACGAGCTACCACTGGGCCGTTTCACCGCCCTATGATGTAGCTGTCGCAAGTTTTAGTTCAGTTTATCAAGTGTGCAGGAGGTGCAACTGCACCAAGGCAACACTGGATGGAGGGCCCTGGGTGTCCAGCTGTGTATGCAAAGAGGTGGAAAGGGGAGAAGGAGACTCCATTTCAATTCTTGCTCTAGTGCGCCCATGCCAGCCGCTCTATGCCACCGAGAGGGGCCGCTCCATCGTCTCTGAAGTCCTCTGTTCGTGCCAGGTGACCCTTGCTGACCTGGCCTGATAGCAGCAGTTCCTCAAAGCCTCGACAACTTCCCAGAGGCGGTGTCAATCGTAACCCGCATCACCGCCGCGAGGAGGATTAAAATCTGCGGAGGCTTCACTTCCGCAGTGCCAATGCGGGATGTAAGTGCGGGGCTTTTGTAAGCGAGTGTCACTTTGCAGGAAGCCAACGAGTGGAGGGACTCGCCTCTACCATGAGAATGTGGAGTGTCTACCACAAGCTTATGGCCACAAACGCAAATCAGCAGTGCTTAAAACCTCATTTGACTTTTGTCGAGTCGTGGTTGCGCATTTTACCCAACGCTTTGGAAGCACGGTTATTGCGAAATTCCCACAGATTCTGAACTAAGAGATTCTGCCTAGGAGATCGCAGTACAGCAAATGGAGTTGTTCACCCATCTGTGTTGTTGTTGGAGCGTAGTTCCTGCTGTTTGCTGGGTGCGTTTATTCCCAGTACGGTAATTCAGTTCCCATACCTGAGCACAAAACACTCCATAAAATAGAATTTGGCCAAACACCTTAATATTCGACAGCTCAATAAGCCTCTCCTAGATATATAATAATTATTAGTATTATTGATTTCAAATAAATACACAAATGGGAAAACATTCTTCGGGGCACTCAAGCAAATCAGAATCTTTATTTAGACTACAGGAAAGTTCAACTTCGGCCGATGTTGATTTGCTGCTTTCCCAATTAAAGCCCCGATCCGTAACAGCAGCGACCACTGCATCATCGTCGACACATGCGAACACCATTTACCCTGCGCAGCATTACCTGCCGAGACCGCTCGCTGTATCGCAAGAGAGGTGGGGGGGGGGGCTTTTCTTTTCACGGTGAAATCCCCAGATACTCTCACACTATCTCGACCGTGCTCGAACCCAAAAACAAAACCATACCGTGCAAAAAAACATACCGTGGAATGTGTTTTCATGTTGATGTGAACAAACTCGCTCTGAAACGAACCTTCCTTGCACGTTAGGGTTTTTGGACCGCGTTTGTTTGGGTAATGGCGAGCTTTTGTGATCGGATTTCCAAAGGAATGGATTTGGTTACCATCAACCTAAATTTCCGTCACTTGTTTCGGTGGTCTTGATTTTTGAGTTAAAGTGCCAGACAAACCAGCTGTTCAAATAAGAGTAAAATAGATACACCGTGACCGTGTGCATGTACAGCCCTTTTTGTCGATCCACTACTAGATGAGGGCCGCCCCACACTGTGCGCGTAGTGGGGAATTATTCACCCACACTTCACAGCAGTGTTCAGGGCGAATTGGTGAAGGTACCAAGCAGAGACATTAAAGTATGGTACAACAGCGTTTTTTTGTTTCTGCACTGCCCTCCGCCAGCCACTACGCAGTAGAAGAGTCAGACCAGCCCTGACCATCATTGTGCATGGCCAATTAAGAAGCACATTGAGCCACTGCGGTAGCATCAATATCGGCGTCTTTTTGGTTGAACTTTCCCTGTCAGCCACGACGCAAAAGCCAGGGAGGGGCGGCAGCCAGGCGTCCCGACACACACACGTGAACGCACACACACACACGCAAACACACACACACGCAAACGCACACACACACGAACGTGTCGTCTGCACACCTGCGACCTACATTCAGTGCTCCCACCCCCAAACCACCTCTTGCCTCCCAGATGCAATCACTTTCTATCGCCAGCTGCCAAAGCTCACAAAGTTCACTCTCCGTCCTCCAACACCCACATCTTCTAAAAGCAAACACGGAGGAGGATGCTCCCAGGCGATTGCCCACGCACTGATATCTTCCAGTCACATGGTCGCTATTTTTCCAGCAGAGTGATTTGTTATCTCTCGTTTCGTTGTACAACATTGAGTGTCCGAGAGACCGGCTCGGCTAAGACTAAAGGCCTGGAGTGGAGCATCTACGGAAACAACCAAAACCTTCTGGACACGTGGACCATTGGACCATTATCATGCACCAAAAATATATTTAAAACTTTTCAATTGAAAAGCGCTGTCCATTGTTTAATTGCAAAAAAAAAGCCAATAAACCAATTTACGTGTCCTTTTTCTATCGGCTTAATCTAAATAGTTGTAAAATGGGTCATTTAAAAAGATATATAAATGGTGTTTTCTCAAGAAAATCGTAGCATCTGTAAAAGTTCTGCGGTCCACTTCCCACGTCCTTGCACAGACGTCACGTGGGCGGCGGACCAAAGGTGGGGGGGGGGGGAGATCGCTGATCGGAGGGTTGAGAGTTTGACAGCGAAAGGGAGTGCCTGAGACTCACTGCTGGGGAATAAAAGGGCATTTCTCAAACTGAAGCGCAATGCATGGAAATACTAGCATGTTGTTGATTCTCAGAGGTGGGGTGGTGTTTTGAGGCCTAGTCGCACTAATGGTGGTTGTCAGGTGGTATTGTGAGCGAAGGTACTGTAGTTTGAGTTATGGTAACATCGTAAGCGAGGTGAAGTGATATTATGAGTTTATTTCGATGAAGGCATTGTTGTGAACCAAGGATCAGAGAGTACTCTCAGGTCAGAATGTATTTTGAGTCAGGTAAACAGGTTATGCCATGAGATAGTCCTGCAAAGAGAGCATTGTTATTCAGGTAGTATTGTAAGTCAGGGAGCACTGCGATATCTGATATCACTATGAGATTAGATAAGTAGGAGCATAAATCAAACAATGGGAAGCAATGATGCATTAACGGAAAGATAAAATAGTTGGCAACGCACTTCATGAACTTATATGGTCAGTTGTTTTTGTGGAGTAATCTCCATCGAGTAGGGAATGGAGCAGTTTGACTCCGCTGAAGCCTGTGGCATGTAACCATCATGTAACCATCATGTAACCATCATGTAACCATCATGTAACCATCTCCCCTCCCAACCAGCAGCCAGTGATTCGAAAACTGATCAAGAATTATATTGAGGTCGGTTATGGAATCCATTGTTTGTCGTCTTGTGTGTTCCAACTTAATTGTATTGTCTGTGTTTTCTTGTTTGTACAATTGTGTCAGCTCTATGGGCCTAAACGTGGCATTAGTATATTATAACCATCAGCCATGGTTCATCCACTGCTAGATAAAAGCCTCTCCATGCCGTGGCCATCGCTCACGGAGTGCTGCGACACCACAATCCATCTCACTCCAGCATATCACTGCCATATAATTTATGTAAATAGTAAATAATCGATTCTTACACACACACAAACTGTGAAGCATGTATCTTGTGCGTACAGATCCATTTCAATCAATAAACCGATCGATCAATTCAAACTGAATCTTACGCTCAAGAAAAGCGCATCTTTTTTATTTAATCAATGACCCAATTCATCGTTAAGAAACTCTGCGCCCGTGAAAAAAAAACGTGGCCTCACCCTCGGGCGGTGCCCTCCAAGGAGCCCCTCTCTCCGTCGCCGCCTCGGAGCCACCGTGGGGGATCACGATGACCCTCCCGCGCGCCGCCTCCCCCTCCTGGACCCCCGTGTAGATGATGGGCCGCGAGTCGGGCACAGAGAGGGGCCGGGCGAACACGAGCACGCCGGGCCCGGCCCGCACGGCCCCCCGGTCCAACAGTGCCGGGTACGACATCTGCAGGCCTACAGCCTTCCGAGAGAGAGAAAATAAAACCTCGTGTCGCTTGCACGATCGCTCGCTCGCTCTTCATTGTGTGGAACTCCCTTCCCCTCCCCGGCCATCCGTGCAGTCGACTCCCTGCCCGTGATCTAGTCCAGGCTCAATAGCTTGCCCCTCTCCTCTGCCTCTACCCGACCAGAAAGTGTCTTCATTCGCACCTCTTTGCCCAGTGGATTCTTACTGCCCGACCTTCCCCTTCGGGAAAGGTCTGGAAAGCCACAGCCTGAACCTCCCCTCTACCACAGCCATCTGTGCTGTTGAACCCCTGTTGAAGGCCAGGCTCAGACCGATGACTGACAGCCTCTTTCCCTCTGTGAAGTAAATAAATTATGCCCCACTCTCTCTGGATAATTTCCTCAGGCACATTAGAGCAATATCGTAACAACTGCAGTGTCAGTTTTATAGAAATATATTAAAATGTAAAACTACGGTGGTAGTGTCTGTAGTATAATCACGATCACTGACATGAATTCTATTTATATATTGCCTTTGATTGCTACAAAGGCACCGTCGAATTATTCAAGCTGGCAAGACTTGTGACAAAAACGAACAATCCTTTGACATCTCATAATTAAGGTACACCATTAAAATAGACTATCATAATAGTCTACGGTACATGTTATATATATCATTGGATCTTTTTACCAGTATCAAAGTATGAAAAATAAGAATAGGTTTTACCCTTTCTGCCAACAAAACAGGTGTTAAGATTTTGACTTCACATTCGTGACTGCGGGAATTCATTTTCTTGGTTCTTTCGGTCGTCATCATCCTGATGACGGTCGCTTGTGTTGTGATCGAAACGTCGTAGTTTATTTTATTTACTTTTCTTTTTTCTATCTACGTGACTGTATCGAAATAACCAAGAATATAGGTGTTAAGATGTTCAAAGACCAAATAGATACCTTTCACAATGACTCAAGTCTGCATTAACCACACGTGCTACTTGGGGTGAACATTCAAACAAACTGTTCGCCTTTTGGTGTTGTCTGGTCTAACACTGGTGAGATTAGACCCTAAAGAAGGAAGTTGTCTCTGGTGTAGGCCAATCAGTTCAAAGACAATGCATCATTTATGATTATTATCAGAGCGTGTGTGTTTCCATGTTCACCACGAGTAGTGTGTGGTTAATGCAGACTTGATTCCTTGCAAAAGGTTTATATTTGCTGTTTGAACATATGTTTTATTTCCAGAAAGGATAAAACCTATTCTTATATATAATATATTATACATAACATACTTATCTTGTCTGTGTGGCCACGTGGCAATAATGAAGGACAACGCTCAGGCCCACCAGGCCCTGCTGCTATCCACCCGGGCGGGGAGCCAGGGCTTACGTTCAGGTTATTAATTTGATTCATTTTATATATACATTGAGTGATTCGGAGAGGCAAACGCAAGCTTTTAGGGACTTTACCAGATTTTCAAACGCCATCCTCTTGAGAGCGGAATGTCATGCCAAGCGGGGAAGCCTCACTCGGGGCCTCGAGGCTGCATTGGGCGAGGAGTGGCAGGCTGCGGTTGCCTGACGATTACGCGGTGCTTGCGCCGCAAGGCCTGCAAACAAACACAGATGAACACAATCGGTCAGAAACAAGGATTCTCTGCATGGATTTATCGACTGATGGGGCAAGTGCTGTCAGCGAGCGCCTATTAAGGACGGTGCCATGTCCGATTGCCCGGTATTCCCAGCTGTCTCTTCTTTGCCCAGTGCTGATGTTTACAAATTGCACTGGCTATTCATTCAAAGCTGAATCGCCTCCAGCATCAAGACACTGCATTGTACAGGACCCAGCTGTGAGGACAGACACGTGTCAAGGACAAATGACCTCGAGAAAAATGCTGACCTATCAGAATCCATTTCAATCGAAATATTAATCATATACTAAAACTGATTGGGTGTTAAAAAGGCCCTTATATTACAAATCTACTAACACATTTTCAAATATTCTTAGCTCTTTCTGTAAAGTCACGTTGAAGGGAAACAATAAAATAATAAAATATATGTAACGTGACTTTACCAAAAGAGCTAAGAATATGAATTACTGCAGTCACGAAAGCTTTAAATCAACATTTTTAAATGTCCCACAAATTACTCAGTTGGTATTATACATAGCAATCATCTATTGCTATGTACAACTAATACTGATTTGTGGGCCAGGTGTTGAGTCACCTTGTGCCCATGGAACAGCTGCCACCGGAGATGCCCCTTTCAAATGTGTTGAGACGAAATAAAAAACAAATAATTATTATCAACAACGCTAGCCGTGTAACAAAATGTTCCATATATATTCCACGCAGCTGTAGGGATAACACGGCCTTCCGAATAAATTCCGTATAAGTCAATGTATTTTTTAATATATAAGTATTGCGTGTGGAATGGTGGTGCAAGTAGTAAGTCATGCCAAGAACCCAGTGATCTGAAATCCACTCCGAGCCACGGCTAACTTAGCGAGCCGTCTGTGTCACCTTCTATCCACCTTCACCTGGCCCCACTTGACCAGCGTGATGAAGCAAAAACAACCCCCATGATTAAGGGGCCGTCCATAAATGACGTCACGCGATTTGGGACGATTTTTGACCCCCCCCCCCTAGTCACACGGCGTCACAAAAAGTCAGACCCCCCTCAAATATGACGTCACAAAGCTCTGCTCCCTCCCCCCAAACAAAAAAACACATGCTTCAAATCGCTTTAAACTATTGTCATTGAAGTGCGTATTTAATGTGGCGCTGCACTCTGATGTTGTAGGAGAAAACATTTATTAAAAAGTCTAATTAAGTGGAACGTGTTGTCTATATTTATTTAAAGCTGCGCATTTTTATGTGATGTCACATTTCTTAAACCCCCCCCCTCCTCGTTACACATCGTCACAAATGTCTGACCCCCCCCCCCCTAGGTGCGTGACGTCATTTATGGACGGCCCCGAATACGACACAAGCCGTGCAGAGGCCTTCACTGAGCAGTTCTTGACGAAGGGCTGTACATTATAAATGACAATGATTGTAAGACTTACTATAGGAGTTTCATTGACAATGTAACTTTAAAAATTCTACGTTTGGTTGTATTGTTGTTCTGATGCTGAATATTATGAAAGGGTCACGCTTTCAGGTCTTCTGCGCTGTATGTATGTTGAACTTCTTTCGCATCGTACGTAGCCAACCGTGATAATATAATCGGATGTTTACTGCTGGCACTGCAACCGGGCTTGGTGCAGAATACACACAATGGTGGCGTCAACTTGACATGCAGAGCATGCTGGGAATTCCAATCGTGTGTTGTGCCGACTGAACACACATTTATCGCGGGTATTATTGATCGTCATGTTGTCTGGCCTGCCATACACCTTTTGGAGCCGATGGATATTCTCGTCGGTAGCGTAAACTGCTCGAATGCTTTCGCGAAGGTGGCATGAGCGACTTGCCCGTGGTCACAACTTTAAGCGCACGATGCACTTGGCAACAGCGGCAGCACCTGCGATCGATTACGGCAGCCAGCGGCGATGAGTTCCGCACCTGAGTGCCCAGGGCTCTTGGGTCGTCCATGATGCGGCAAGGTGAGCAAGAAGGGTTCAGCTTTATGGGAAAGTGAGTTCCGCCCTGAACCAAACTCTCCGGTCGTGACGGGTCCCCACCCCGGGACCCGCTCCTCCGCTCGCCTCGGTGAGAGAAAAATGACGATTTTCTGGATTTCAGCGGCGGCGGTGGCTGCGGTGCGCGTTGGCTCGGCTCGCTGACATTCTCAGAGGCTCGTTTCAAACTTTTTTGTTTCCTTTTCCAACGAAAAACAACGGAGGCAGCGTTGGCGATATTTGGTCCCATTGTTCGGTGATTGAGACGGCGTGAGGTTTTTGTTGTTGGCTTGTCACACATTGAATTTTGCACACAGCGTTTTAATGTTTTTTTGCGTGTGGAATATTTGCTGGTTTATTCCAGGATGTTTGGTTACACGTTGTCGCTTTAAGATGTTCCGTGTTCAAATTTTGTTTGTTGCGGTTGCACCCGACTTAAGAGCCGCATGGCTCACAGGACTATACCTAATAAATGGAACTTGAAAACTTGAAACTTGTTGGCATAAGGGGCCGTCCATAAATGACGTCACGCGATTTTGGACGATTTTTGACCCCCTCCCCTAGTCACGCGGCGTCACAAAAAGTCAGACCCCTCCCTCAAATATGACGTCACAAACCTCTGCACCCCCCCCAAAATAAAACATGCTTCAAATCGCTTTAAACTATTGTCATTGTAGTGCGTATTTAATGTGGCGCTGCACTCTGATGTTGTAGGAGAAAGCATTTATCAGAAAGTCTATTTAATTAAGTAGAACGTGTTGTCTATATTTATTTAAAGTTGCGCATTTTGATGTGACGTCACATTTCTCACCCCCCCCCCCCCTCGTCACACATCGTCACAAATGTCTGACCCCACCCCCCCCCCCCTAGGTGCGTGACGTCATTTATGGACGGCCCCTAAGTCAGAGATGGAAAACGGGCGTCTGTTCATGACATATAGATATTCCGCTTGTTAAAACCACCAGAGGTGATGAGATTTATCTTTGTAAATGTTTTGTAAAAACCACAACACGAGAACCCCACGTGAGTCAAGAGTATTCTTCACGTGGCCCACGGTAGAGCTACAATGATCATTGTGCATTGATGTGGTCACAGAGCGAGATCATTGCATCAGGCGTAGCGGAGTGGGTGGGTGCCTCGCTGTGAGGATGCCTCCTCGGCGTCCGTGAATCGGGCACGGAGTCGATTATTTGTTTCGACCATCTGTTCTGCGTGGCCACAGTCGCACATCGGAGATTCGTTTCATTTATTTTACATTTGAACATCAAATATCTTGCTGCCATGGTCAAGAGTGATACGCGTAAGTTACTCATTTGCAAAGATCATCACAATTCACAGTTGTTTGTCGTGTTAAGTAGTTGGTACGACGCAAGTGTTACGTTTCGTCAGTGTGGCGAGTGGCTATCGCTGTGCGCTACGAACTTGGCAACATACGTTCGATTCCCAGCCACGGCTGACATCAGTGAGTGGCGAGTCAATTTCTCAACTGGTTCTGGGCACCACCTTCAGCCACACAAACTTGACCGGCGTGGTGAAGTATGGTCAAATCGTCTCCATGACCAAATATGGCGTGCAGGGAGGCCTTCGTCCAGAATTGAGTTCACAAGAGGATGTAAATTATAAGTTTTGTTAAACAGCTTTACTCTTGCCACATCAGACGAAACTGGTAGTACACCGGTAGTGCTTTGTTGGGACTAAATTATTTTTCTTCGGAGTTGTCCATCGCATCCGATTACGACCTTCATTCTCTGCCTCTATTTGTGAGATTTTGTGTGACTGTAAAGTCCAATCCTCGACCCGCAGCGTCTGCCGCAGACAGAGCAGGCGAAGTCGCTGATTGTATGTGTAGGTGTGGTGCTGGCTTCACGTCTCTTAAGACGCTTCCTTTGTCATAACTCACTTCGGTCCTCTTCGAGCTTCCACACTCCTAGAGCTTTCCACACTCCTAGAGCTTTCCACACTCCTAGAGCTTTCCACACTCCTAGAGCTGGCGCGAGACGGAGCCTTCTGCGGCAGCGTCTTCCAGCTGGGTGGGGTTCAGGCTGCACCAAAACCCTCTTATGTGGGAGACCTGGTCTGGGAAGTGACCCGTCTGAGCACATTTCGACTGCGGAAAAAGTGAGTGTTCGATCTTCTGAACCTGTTCTGGGTCTCGCCTAGGTTGACTCCGTTTTAATAAAAGTACCGTATTCATAAATGCCGTGCAAGCATTTCTCGGGCGTGACGATTTCCACACCTGCCCACGCGCCCCTATGGATCTTTGCACGTGCGAGTGCATATGCGTTGTGTCCGCACGTGGCCATTAGGTAACAGAGTGCGTGGACTTGCGTTCATATGTATGAGTGCATGCAGGTGAGTGCGTGTTTATGCGTGTGTACATATTCACGAGCGTGTGCGTTCACACGTGTACGTGTGTGCATTAGGATAAGTGTGCGTAAAGATCGTGTGTGCGTGCACGTGTGTACACTCGGATGAGTGCTTGCACGTGTGTACACGTGTATGAGTGTGCGTGCAGTACACGTGTGTGCGGGCGCGTGTGTACACGAGGATGAGTGTGGGTGCACGCCTGGTTTACGGGGAGGAGCGGCAGGAATCCGTGGGAAGGCAGAAAAACCGCACGCCCCACCGCCCCTCTCTGCACCCCCAAAACCTCTCCCTGCCCGCGGCGCTCCCAGATCCCACGCAATAAAAAGCCCTAAACATCAACCCAAAGCCACACGCCTCGCGCTGCCAGAACCACTGCATTAGGGCCGAGTGTGCAATCTACGCAACTCGCCTTGCCTCGTGCGTCCATTCATTCGAGTCCAGGAATGTTGAGAAACTCAGGCACGTGTGGCCGCGTTGTGCCTCATGTCAAGAGCCTAACAACCCTTCCCGGCAGGTTTCATCATAAACACAGTACAGTGCAAGTCACCGTCACACCACTTATTTTGGAAAGTCTCAAGACTACTTTTTCAGGAGTATTTCGCATTGCGATATCTGGTCAAT